ACGTTCACAATGGAAATTATGATCGAACGACACCTCGATTTGCCGTTGCATGCAGCCGATATGCAACTGGGGTATCGAAATACAGCGTAAACAACTGTACCGCCATTTCGTCCCCTCTGTTCGGTTTTAAATCGATGACTCAGAAAGGTTGTCGAGGAAACCGCATTACCCCATGTGAAACAAAACATAATAGAATGCGCCATACACGAGTGACCCTCCAAGTTTACCTGTCTTTGACTTTCGACTCAACCTTGTTAGAATGATTCATGTACTGCATTCGAAAATAGCAAGCAACGCTAAACATATATTTTTTTATATTTTTAAACTCATTACTAATAAAATATTTTGAAATATTATATCACAGGAATTATTCGATTTATTTGATGCTGAATTCATATTTGAATATTATATTTGAATTATACATAAAAATGCAATTATTATACCCGCATATTGCATTTTAATAATATAATTATATTTATTTTATAAATATTTATGGAATATCAACAGTCAGTGGTAGATGCAGTGAAAAATGCAATAATGATTATGCCTGAAGGTAAAATTTTTTTTCGCGCACGCAGTAATTTTTATTTTTCATTATTCTTCCGGGTCATCGTTTCACTGACGACTAATCCATGGAATTTTCACAAAACATCGGGAACTAATTACGAATTAACCAATGGCATGCATAATGGAATCAATTAAGCTTGATTACCCGAAACATTGTTAGAAATTCCGCGTAGTCGGCGATCCATACTTTATCGCGAGAATACTCCGGAGAAATTGATGTTTATGCCAGAAACCCGGTGTGAAAGCGAGGTGATATGTAACTTAATCCTGGGTCATTGACACTTACAAAATTTTGAATTATTTGATTCACTTTCTATAAGCAAAATTACAAAGCATTTCTAAAAAAAAAACAATAAATTCTATCAATTTTGTTATATACATATAATTATCTCACATTTTTACATTTATAACTTTTTTAATCTATTTTTATATAAAATTAAGTTTTTTATATGAGTTTTTTTATAATTAAAATATCGAGAATTAATTATAAAATGTCAACTTTTCAGTTATAAGTGACAATTTTAAAATTGTTCAAATTTTTAAAGATAGACAATATTTTTTTTTACTCTAGTATTTAGAAAACTTAATCTATTTATGAAGATTTATTTATATATTTTCTATATAGTTTACTACATGTAATTTATAAATATAGCAAGCAATTTTCAAAATCAGGTCTTGATGGACCAGGAAATTATATTTAATCGAGGCGCTCTTACCTAATCTGCCTATCGATTTTAATGTTTCCACACTTCAAGGATGGCTGCTTCCTTTACGTAACGTTGCACTCGTCGTGAATAAAAAAATATTGTCTGTGTAATAAACTTATTATTGCATAAGCGAGAATCTTCATGAGACCGATTGCAAATTGTGGCTAAGTCGAAAGCGCAACACAAAACACCCAGAACTCTTATCAGTCAAGCAAAGCCTCCGTATATTAACAAATGTTCGCGTCAGCATCTCATTAGAACAATTTCGAAGAATAAATATAACTACGATAAATTTAAATTTGAATTTCGAGCAACGATTTACTACGTCGTTATTTGTTAAACAAGATGGAAAGTAGGTCCGATTATTACACTAAGTTGTGACGATTTTCCCCATTCGGAAAGGTCAGGAAACGAGGTCACGAAGCGACAGGAAGTTATACAATAGAGAGTACGTGTTCCTGTTCTCACGGGGGAAATCCTATATATATGTTGATAACGTTTTTTAATGAGAACTCGATCCTCGTTATTATCGACGAGTTCCTCTCGCAGAGTATCTGAATCAGTCTTGGATTTTTCATGCTACTCTGAATTACGAAGTGGAGTCTCTCGTTTTAAAGAAGCAGTATGCTTAAAGAGCCCCGTCGTAGGACTCGTGACATCCTGAGATTTACGGGATTGCGCGTTATCTTCTGATGGCTGCGAAATTGTGTGGATACTGGCGCGTCGCTACGTTAATCCGATCACGTCGCATTAAATAGATAGACGTACGTCTTCCGAACGGAACCTAACGAGAAGGGACCTAACGAGAAAGCTGTAAAAATCGAATGACATAATGGCGCACCCTGAATAATCCAGACGTATTTTGAGACGACGATAAACGTCACGACGTAAGCTCGTTTCACCGATAGACCTTAATCCTCGCAAAATTAACGTCGTCTCTTCAAATACCGACTGTTTACATTAGCAGAGCTTCAAAAAGAGGGAAAATGTTGTTTGGATAAGCTTTGGTAGCTTTTCCAAATATCATGAACGATTCAATAATAATTAAGTAAATTAAAACTTGGGGTAATTCCTAATGATCTGTTTAGCAATAAATTAAATCAAAAATAATTCAATGAACACAATTTAGAAATCCATTGCAGATTATTAAGATTCGTAGCCTCTTGTAAAATTGTTTTTCATGCACTTTTCATAATAATTTACGTTAATTCAATTTAATAAAATTAATTATAAATTAAAAATAAATTAGCACAGTATATATAGTATATATTAATATGAAATTGAGAAATTCACCGAGAAAGGTCATATGTAATAATGTCAGAACATTAATTTAGATATTTTTATTTCCTACTTTCACCTCTCTTACACACTTGATTCTTTAAGATTTATGACATTCCTCGATGCATAATTTATTATACATTTTTTTAGCAGAATTAATATAAAAGAAACAAGAATAAAAGAAAATTAATTAATTAAACAAATCTCTCTTAAAAGAATAAATGAAAATACATATATCGCTATTATCAAAATCCTTCTCAAGGTAAACATCTCAATCGCTTGTAATTACCTCGATCTCCCGATATCACGGTCGACGAACTCCATCGTCACTTGGCAATAAACAATCTTGACAACGTACATTGTGACGCGCTTCGCGATCCGAGCCGCTACTTTTGATCCGGCACTTCGCACTGACGACAATCCGCGATGCGAATGATTCCGATGCGCAGGAGACACACGCGGTTTGTCAAAGCCCTTTGTTCCGTACGGTATACGCACTTGTGCATATGTATTACGAGAGAAAGGGATGGAAAAGGAGGGAAATGGGGAGAAACAGAAAGAGAGAGAGAGTGTGTGTGTAAGTGTGGGTATGGTATTCGGATGCGCAAAGACGGATATCCGGTGTTCCGCTACTACGATCACGCTATAACGCAACAGCACTGTGCGGTTTTCGCGCTAATTAGCGATACTACGGTATCGTGCGCATTAATTAATTCGAATCGATTTCGTCAAATAATTGCCGATATCATTGACCACTAATTCCTTTCAGGCTATAAACCGATCGCCAAAGTGAAAAGAGTCAAGAGACTCGGTTTCAAAATGAATTACCGCGAATTATATTGCACATGTTCGATATTTTAGAGACGTATTAGCGACTTTCTATATAAAAATATTATCGCTCACATTCATAAAGTCTAAATGTTATTCTTGTTATTTGTGCCCGGAAAGAGAATTTATCCGGAAATAATATATCCTATGAATACTTTCAAATCTGATACTTATAGGCGGTTACTATATGTATATATAATATTGAGACTATCGATACACTACATATGCTATATATTGTATGTACTTTAGTCCTTAATTAGGAATATAATCAACGGAACACAAATTAATATGATAATCCAGGAGTACTGATGTTTGGATTTAATACTTAGGATAATCCGCGCAAGAGTTTAGCTTTGAAATGGATTTCGTCCCTAAAGCCCTTTGTTTGAAATTGCGTCCCATTCAAATTTACACAAAGCATTCCTAAATTATTAAAACAAAATTTTTGCGAGATTATTAATAGTAATTTTTGACGACGAAAATATTAATTCTGTCTTTTTGAGTTAACCAAATTGCAAATCAGTAATCATATAATTTTGTGGGTGCTGAGAGAATAAAAAATTTGACAACACAATTAGAACAACTTGACGCGGCGTAATTGGCATATATGTCATTTAATTAAAAGTTAAATTACAACTCGTGCGTACACAACTTTATTTCGTTGATTCTCGAATGGGGATTTGCGGGTAACATTTTCTATGGAATCTCTCTCCTTGTATAGAAATGGAGACGCCTAGTTCAGACGAAGTCGAGTAATTAGACCACAACCGTGTTAATAAGCGTTGCCTGACCGTGGCAAACACGGCAGTAATTAACTATTAACTATTACTAATCGTAATGCAGCGTCTCGGGAGCCACGAAACAGATACAATTCTGTATTCTCAAAGCAAGAGAAGCTCGAAGGAGCGCGCACGAAAAATTTTCTCTCAACTTTTAAATTATTCGTGCCAGCCTTGTACCGGTTACAGCTGTTTTATTTCGGTCGTATGGCGATCACTTTGCGGAGAATAGTTATAGCTTCATCTATCGCTATTTTAAAAACAGTCGCAAGGACAACCATCATTATCGCGATTGTGAAAAGAATTTCGTTGAATAAGAACAAATTGAGACGAGACTTAATTTTGTACTTTCGCGATGGGGATCATCTCATAATTAGTGGGACTTTCCGACCTTCCGAATAATTGCGGAATTGTCGGTCCGGATAGAGAAATATTCTCCGGCATTAAGCTTCTCCATCAGTCTTTAAAATTACGACTAACGCGAGATCGGAGAGACATCGCGAGTAATTAATTAGTCCATGTATATAAAACGGAGTCTTGGATTAGTGTTATCAGAGAGAGAAAGGAATCAAAATTTAAAGAAATAAAATTCATTCTCATCTAGCGTCCCGAGTATCTAACATTGTAAAAAAAATGTGTAATATATTACATGATATATGTAAAATTACATAAATAATAAATGTAAAATTACACCATAAATAATAAAAATGTATGCACTTTCGTTATTCGTTGTGTAATTTTACGCTTATTGTTTATGTAATTTTACATATTTTTTTACAGTGTGTATCGATCGTGTTTCATGTAACGCGTACTTTGTATTATTAAAAAATTTGCTACTCACCGATGACACTTTTGCCGCTGTCGCTCCTGCACCCATAACGCCTCGCCAAGATTATGAGTTCCACTCTGCACACCACCCATGGCCGATCATGAAGAGACCTGATATAAATTCGCACTTAATAGTCGAGTTACATCGAGTATCTTTTTACATTGTTAAATATTTTACAGATATTCTCAAAAGTCAGTGATATATGACACGAATTTGACGGAACGCATCTTTCTTGCAGACAATTTAATATAACAATAAAAAGTAAATTAAATATAGAAGAATAATAAATAAATTATATTAATATAAATAATAAAATAATAAATTCTACATATATTGAATAATGTAATAATATTATATATATCTTTTATTAATAGTGATAACATTAAATTATTATTCACAATCGCATATACTTATAATAATTTATTAATTTTTACTCGAAATGCATGTAACTGTTATTAAAATTAATGATTAAATAAATTATTAAAAAATAACTAAAATAGATTCGACCACACAGTAAGTGGCAGTAATTTATTCCGATGTTTAATATAAATACGACGTTTCAACCGTCATTGCGGTCCTTCTCAAGTATATAAAAAAACAGAAATCTAAATCTATAAAATAAATTTATTGTATTATCTATTTAAATAAATGATTTTAAATAAACGTTTATATATCAATATTATCAGAAAAATGTACGTATAATATATTTAACGAGTTTGGTATAAAGTCTATAGATTGTTACACTCGCTTGAAGTCATTATAAACTTCGATAAAAGTTTCCTAGTTGTAAAGTATGATATTATTTATAATATGTATATAGGTACTCAAGAATTGCATTACAAGGGCGCTGCTAATAGCAACAACTTTCACTATAAAAGATTGAAAGGCACAATTACTACTAAATAAATGTATATTAAATATATTGCAATCTCTTCACGTGATTAATGGCGTTTTAACTCACTTTCCAATTTACGCTAAAATAACAACCCATTAAAAATTTATGATACAGTATTGAATGTCTTTAATTTTTTTTTCACGAATAAATAGAGAAAGAAAAAAAAGACAAAAAGATAATGTTTACGTTAATCCGTGATTTACACATTTATAATGCATAAACAATCGATGTAACAACATTTCATATATGTTTAAACAAAACTGACACCATCTGATCGATTATGTAAATACGATACTTTTAGCGAACTGTTTTGGCTACAGGCTACATAATAACAGTCTATGTTCTATATTTTATATACAATCACATGAAAGACATGATTTAATGGATATATCATCAACTTCGTTTTCAATATATTTAGAACTCGGCGTTGAAACATGTAAATTATCCAATTTTATCGAGAAACTCTGAACACGTGGCGCTATAACATTTAATAGAGGGAACATGCATTCTTGAAATATTTCCATGGTATTTAATAATCTTGGAAATATGGAAGCATTTGAAAAAGCTTGAAATAAAGCGAAAGATCCGCCTCGTGTATGTATTACAGCTCGAGCGGAAAGGCATTTACGATGAAGGTCTCCTTTTCGTAATTCTCGTGTAAATTTTCAATCAGCCAGTTCTCATACCAAGACCTGCTACTAGATGACACTAGCGTGCAGCTTACTCGATACTAAAATCGATCCGGAAAAGTATATTAACCAGACGTGCGGAGGCACGTTTATGTTTATTGCGAACCGAGAAATGTTCCAACGTTAAGTTTTTCCGGAAAGGGTCTTGACCGTCAGGTTTTAGACCCAATAAAATTAGCCAAAGATAAAATAATATCTTTCCTTGTAGATTTCACAATTAAGTGTTTTACTTTCTCTTTTGGAAGTTACGCCACACTCTACTTCACGAGATGTAGTGTTGATGATTCCGAACGGATGGATATCTCGATAATAGAAATTAATTGAATACTTTTAGAATTGTGATTTATAAAAATATAGATTTTTTTAAATTAGGATAAATGCAACACAATATTTCTAGAAAATATTTACTTTGTATATTTAATTTTCCGAAAACAACAATTAAAAGAGTATTGTAAATAGCTAAAACTACTAGATATATTTTTTAAATAATTTTTTAGCAACCTCGCAAAGTTAATTATAATGTAAAAATTTTAATTAACATTAATTTGATTTTTTTTAATAATGTTTTATATTTATTTTTTTTTCTATAATTCTGTTATACACAAATAATTATATATTATAAATTAACAGTCTAATGTATAATTTTTTTTTCAAAAACTTTTAAAAGAAATTTTTAAAGAGATTTTCTTTTTCTTAAAAATATATAATGTTTATGTGCAGAAAGATTTTCTTTTGGCAATGTAAAGCTCCAAATATTTTATATGGATAAACGATATATATAGTCTAATACTTTCAACCAAGTGATCACGTACGTCTTCCTGTAGCATCAAGTATCCCAAAGTGATATATTATTTACATACCTAAGATGCCTTAACCCATGAGCACTCACGTTACGAAAAATCGAGTTGTATATTTATGTTGACTAACGTCACGTTCATTTTGCATATCGCTTCGAAATAAAATGGCAAATTTATGATACACAAATCTTAAAATCTACAGATATTTTACAGAAATTGAAAAGTCAAGTATGAAAAAAAATGAAAAATTGAATTACGTAAAACAGAAAAATTTTAATGCTATATTTTTACAAACACATATTTTTATCGAAGTTACTATCGAAATATTCCAAGCGTCGCGGACAAATCACTATATCTCAGATAAGTACAGCGTAACTTCCAAAAGAGGAAGTGAAACTGCAGTATGTCAAGTATACGATTATATATGTAAACTGACAGTTAAACAGTTGTGATCTTTACACACATGTCTCTCCAAGATTACTTTATCATCATCGCGAAATGCAAGAATAATGGATTCATCGGTGAACGATGAAAGAATAAATATAAATAATTCCACGCTTTAAAATCCGTATAATAGGGGATTTCTCAAAGTTAAATTTAACTCACGCAACGCGTATTAATTACACAAGAATATAATTTTTTTGCCCGACTTTATAAATTATTTTACATGTTATCACGTCAGAGGCTTTCTAGTCATCGGTGCGTAAATTTCTTCATAATTCGGTTGAAAGTTGAACAGAGATGTTAAAAAAAGTATATTGGAAAACTTGCGCACGTATATGAACGATTTTTCTTTAATTTTAGGAATACATTGCCTATCAATTTTTTAATTATTAGATGAAATCTCAAGAATATTAATTATTTGTTTGCACACATTATATTATTAATATAACATTTGTACAATTAATAAATTATATAGTGAAAAGATTACATTTAAAAAATTATAGCTATTAATTAAATAGTGAATTAAATTTTTATTATTTTTATATTCATTAAATTCTTTAATGCTACAGGATAGCTTTAACATTAAAACATAATAACTATATTTACACAGAGAGTAAAGTTAAATATATGATTTTCTTTTGATTTCAACTACATACGCAGTTGATCCGCTATGAATAAAGTATTCGGAGCGTATAATCCTCCGAGTAAACTAGATTTCAAAAAAATAGCTGTAACTAAATTTAATAAAGCATAAAACTATAGAAAATAAATATATTTAAACCGTAAGAGTTTAGTGCAAGAATGAAATAAAATTACAATTTTTTAATAAAATCTGTTTCAAATATGAAACGATATATATATATCTCTCTTTAAAATAAATGTTATAGTTTATTAGTCTAGTCTTTCCTTGCCGTGCCCTTAATATTTCAATTTCCAATCCCTAGAGATCCCTGACCACGCAATTACTCAAGTGCTAACGGCAATGGTTCTTCGGGAAACACCATAAGCCCGAGTGGTCAATCTTATAAATATCTACTTACCCTCGGGAAATTCCCTTGGTGTAATCGTCAATCGTACATCTCCGGGAAATGAAACAAAATCAATTCGCAGGTCGAGAAAAGTTTGCGGAAGCTTCGGGGTATTATCGCGGGAAAAAAGAGTCTACGTCGCCTTCTCGTTCCACGATCGCATCACTTATTAATTGAGCAGGATCTTATGGTAGACTGTGACGGCACAGAAAACTTCACCACCGCATCGCACCACGTACAATGGAAGAAGGGAAGGCGAACGGTTAGGTAGTGGTAGATTTCTTGCCACTTCCACTTACTGTGTACCTGCCAACCTACCTGGCGATATGCACGCGGATTACCGTCCGCCGATTGTCTGTCATGTGCGTGGGGGCGTACTAATTGTCGGACGTTGCCTATCCGTTTAAAAAAATACACAATTATCGCGGTATGAAATTTCTATCCGAATTGCAGCATCGAAATTTCTAGCCGAGTTGCAGCCGATCGTCACCGATCGCTCCTTGAGCGCCCTGAATGATCGAGAAATTTTAACTCGTCGCTGTTTCCCTTTCGGGACGAGAACTCTCCATGACAAACGATTACCTCATAGATTTTCCTTGAGACTGAAACGCGATACCGCCTTCATTACATGCAGATGAAATCGAGATATATCATATGTTATAAATAATATTGTAAATATAAATGTTACGATATACAAATGTATAATTACAGCAATCAATTAGAGAGATAGCATCTTAATATATAATTTCTCAAATATTTATCAGATATTTTAAAATAACATATACACTTGTGTATATCTTTTACGACACATTGATAAATATTCGATCGGAAACAAAATTAATTTTTTCGTCTGTCCTTATACCCATCATAAGCATTAATTTCTTGCATTATTTCTAGAGTTTCATAATCTCAGATGTGAGAAATTCATGTTCGGAAATTTTTAATGTTGTTCATTAAAATCTCATTGTTTTTATAAAAGTCTGAAATTCTGTACTATTTCTTCTTTTAAAATATTCATTTATATTATTACATATATATATATTTTTGAAATTATTTCAGAACATATTGGATTCCGAATATATGACTGCATGTACGCGTATCATGAAAAAATGCACCATTTTAGCTATTTTATGCAGATATTAAATTTTTTATTTTATTTTTTTAATTTTTTTTTACAATGTATAATTATTTCGTCTGACCGTCTATCTATCATACGCATTAATTTTTTTGCATTATTTCTTATGCAGTGTTTCATAATCTAATAACAACGTTTGGAAATTTTTAATAATGCTATTTATTAATTTCATCATTTTTATAAAAATCTGAAATTTTGTATTATTTCTCCTTTAAAGATTTACATACATAAATTTACATACATAAATTTTTGAAATTATTTTAAAACATTGGATCATATGATGTTTCATGTACGCGTCACGAAAAAATGCACTTTCTATTTTAGCTATTTTATATATTAATTTTTTTATTTATTTTTTTACAACGTATTCCATCTTTTTGCTAATTTTTCATCATCTCATCTCGTTTCACATCTTTCGCAATTTCTATATTCCATGGCGTACTCTTGAAATTAATCACTTGTTAACTCTTTGTCACTTTATCAAAAATTTTAATGACAATTTTGAAAAAAAAAACTTACGAAGACGCCTACAGATGCATTTTTAGAGATCGTTAGCGCAAGCGGATTAATGCTCGGTTCCGTTCTGCTTACAGCGGAAAGACCCCGACCATCTCGTTCCGTTCTCCACACTCTAATACCTTCTTCATATCAACGGCTCGTAACCAGGTTAATACACACAGTCTAGCTCTCAATTGCGTGATTATCACGCGATCAAAGTCGCGGATACACAATTTTGCCGATTCTGCACCACACACACACATACACACGCACACACACATACATCGTTCTTTTTTCAAATTTTTAAATGTATATATGTATACATTTAAATGCGTTTAAATCACTAAAATCTCCCAAATAAAAATTAAATCGAGAATTCAGCAAAGAATTTGTTGCATTACATGTAAATAATAATAGTTAGGGCAACATATTCGATTTTAGATTTTTCTATAACTTTTATTTTTATTTAATTTTGTCGAATATCGTCTCACATCAGAGAGAGAAATAAATTAATTAGGAGAAACGAGTTTTATATATAGAAAACGAGTTTTATATATATTATAGAAGATATTACTCGACGAGTTGTTCCGTTGTTTTAGTATTTTCACTAGATTTATATTACATACTATATAATTTTAAATATGTATATAACAGACGACACAGATAAAAGCAAGTATGTAGCGTGTAACTAATGTTTAACGCGTGTGCTTTTATAATTGCGTATATTCGCATACGTTTCGTAGCCTCGTCAGAACTATGTTATGTTCCGTTCTGACTACGTTAAAATTTTAATTATTGTACAGAATTGGTAATTAACATCTTTTCGACTACAAGAATAAATCGATTTAAATTGATTAAACTTCAAAAATTAATTTAATTAGCGCTAAGCAAAAACGGTGTATGTGTGAAGTTGGAGTTTTATTTTGTGGAAACTCATATAAATACTTAAGAGTACTGACTTTATTTGCAATAGTTCTAGAGTTCCTGATAATTTCAAAAATAGTTCAAGCCATTAAAACAACGAAAATGCCTTAGGACAAACTGGGACGCCAACATCTCACTTTGTCCTATGACATTTTTCTTATCAGCAATTATCAGAATTGAAAAGATTTATAGTTACATACGTTCCAAGAAGAGTTCTGCCTTTTGAAAGCAAAAAAATATTGATTAAGTTAACATAATAACACCTAGATATATAAACATCAAAGTCGCCAGTCCATTTTCAAGAATTCTGCTTATTGTAAAGCAATTCTCATATAGTTTTTAGCATGTACAATATTTTTCTAAAAAGTTCTGATAATTAAAGCAATGAATAAATTTTGTAACTAGTAAAGTAGTTCTCGTATAGTTTTAGGTTTTAGGCATCTCGTACAATACTTTTCAAGTTCTGATAACTAAAACACTGAAACTTTTTAAATAATTATTTTGCTTGAAAAAAGAATATTTTCGAGTTTAAAGGTGAGACGTCAATCCATTTTCGACAGTTCTATTTATTTTAAAACAATTTTTATATATAGTTTTTGACATCTACAATTAAATTACAGAATATAGAAATTCGAGAATTAAAATTATGTGCATAATAGAAATTCGAGAATTAAAATTATGTACATAAAATTTATGGAACATTTTTTATATCTTTTTGTGTGTGGTAAATATTAATATTTTTATTTGCGATAAATATTAATCAGAGAAACTTTTATAAAATTCTTTCAATGCCATATTGGCCTACCACGATTTTCAGGGTAAGTTCTAAGAGAAAATTCTCTCTGTGTACGATAGGATATCGTGCAGGTTTTGTACGATCTATCGAGTAGAAATAATACCGATAAAATTAAAGTTTAGTATCGTTCAAACGCGCTTGAAACACTAAATTTCATATTTGAACTCGACATTTTCCATCCAAACTTTCGACAATGGATATACGGAATATTCCGTGATACGATCGTGCACGCACGTATACTTTTCTCATGGGCAAACCGTATTATGTTTTTGCCAGTTGAGATATTCGCATGATGCATGCAATTGAGTGTGCATATAAGATTTATAAAATATTCTAGAAATGATTATTATAACACTAGAAATCAGATTTTCAAGAAAATAAAAATATATATGTTTACACATTGCTTTACGAGATTTATATAAGTATAGAAATGAGAAAAAGAAGAATATATAAAGTCTTATATAAAAATATTACATTATCTAACAGGCTTGTCTTTATACAAGACTCGATAATTATATAGTAATGATAATTATGTTTTATTTTAATAAAATAGAAGAAATGTTATATATAAATTTGACGAAAATAAATTGTATAAGAAAATCAATTTTAATGTACAGTTTGCACATTGTTTTACAAGATTCATATAAATATAAAGAAGAGACATAAGAATATAAAATCCTTATATAAAAATATCACATTATCTAATAAATAGACTTGTCTTTACAAGACTCGCTAATAATATAGTAAAGATAATTATGTTTTGTTTTAATAAAATTTAAAAATGTGATATATGTATAAATACCTATAACGAAAATAAATTTATAAGAAAACAAATTTTAATGTATAGCTTACACATTGTTTTATGAGATTCATATAGAGAAGAGAAATAGGAATATCAAATCTTATATAAAAATATCACGTTATCTAATAGACTTGTCTTTACAAGACGCACTAATTATATAATAAAGAAAATTACGTTTTATTTTAATGAAATAGAAAAATGTGATTATAAATATAACGAAAATCAATTTAAATGTAGTTTACACATTGTTTTACAAGATTCATTTAAGTATATAGAGAAGAAAAATAAGAATATATAAAATCTTAAATAAAAATACTACATTATTTAATAAACTTGTCTTTATAAGACCCGCTAATTATATAGTAAAAATAATGATGTTTTATTTTAATGAAATAAAAAATATAATATATAAATATACTTAACGTAGGTTCGGATGTCATCGTGGCATATCACCAAGGGCTTCCCAGAATCACGGTGCCTCTTCCATCCAGAAGAGAATATTGTTCGTTCACCATGAAACCAATAACACACACGGTCGGCAATTTTTTAGATATGTTGAAGACGGAAGATCGCGGTATTGATCGAGCATGCATAACATCATTAGGTGAGATATCAATCATTTTTCTTAGCAACTAATTAATAATTGAAGTATTAGAGATGTAACCGGATAGATTTTTGCATGATAATGCAAGGTAAAAGTTTTGATTGCTTTTCAGATGGTGTCAGGATATCTTCCAGTAATACGATAGAGTCGCTTTTAGAAGAGGATTTTAAATTAGTAATAAACGATAACGAATACGTTGTTTCACCGCCGTTGCAAGAAAGGTGCACAACGGTAAGTTATCACTTAAAAATGAGTCTTCTATTCGGCTTTCTATCTGATTTTTTTAATATATGATATTTTTTAATATATATATATATATATGTAGAAATGGTGTAGTTGTAGAATGCTCTAGTTAATGTCGATTAATTAGAATTTTAAACGAGCAATATTTCGGTCAATCATAATTTTCACTTGTCGGGGATATTTTTTGGATCACATTTTTTCCTGGCCGAACCGAGCGTGACACTTTATAAGTATCACTTTACATTTCTCACTTTTGCAGGAGGATCTACAAAAACTTGGAGACGTACAAGCACTTGTCGCACAATTGTACGAAGCGTTCAATGTGCGAGAATATCACATCGATATGGAAAGATCGGTTATAACCGAGCTGGAAGATATTAGATTACAACTAGAACCCATGGAACAGGTAAAAATATATTTTTAATAATTTAAAGAAAATATTTTATATTATATTATAGATTTTATAAGATATATGTATTTGAGTTATATACACTTACAAGACATGGATATTTATGCGAAATAACACATAGATTTATTAATTGATTTAATAATAATTAAACGAAGTGCATGCATCAATTATTTCTTCTATGATAAACACACAAGTCATATTTAATCGCGGTCACACTTCTATTATCAATCTTTTCTCATACTACGTGTGCCGGTTTTTTACGATTCTTCTTAATTGCCATATTCTTCTAATTAGTTCATTCACGCTTCGCACACGTGACTGAAGGAACAGCGATACTTTTCTTACCCTATCTTCGTGCGAATTGTACTTGCTATATTTGCTATTAAATGTGATATATAGATTATTTTTGTAAAATATTTTTTACGTCTTTTTTTCTTTCTCTATAAGATAATAAAACAGAAAAAACATGTCACTTTTTAGAATTTTCACGGTTCTTCCTGACATATTTATGCATATTATGTCTCTGATATATGATCTACATTTTTTTCTTAATTACATGATGAAAAATAAAATATGATAGAATATAATGAAAAATAAAATACTTTTACTAAAACAGGAACACCTAGATACATACAAATATAATAAAAAAATAAAGGAATTAAAAGAGAATATGAATTTCACATGTTCTTAATCGTTTTAGAAATTGCAAGAAATACAAAATGCTGCTTATAAGAAAGCGAATTTCTTTATCTGGACGTTTCTAGTCATGATGTCAATCCAATTTGGAGCATTAGCCCGATTAACCTGGTGGGAATATTCATGGGATATAATGGAGCCCGTCACTTATTTCGTTACTTATGGCACTACTATGATGTGGTTCATTTATTATCTCGTCACCAGACAGGTAGATCGAAAAAAATATACAGAAATCTATAACATTACAAAATGATCAAAAATACATTATATGATCATAATTATATGTATGTAACATTGTAACTTGACATAAATCAACTATTTTTCTTTATATATTTATAGGAATATATGCTGCCGGACGTGTTGAATAGGCGTCATCTCATAGTCCTTCATAGAAGAGCACGAAAGATGGGTCTGGACCTTAATTTGTACAATGCATTAAAGGATCGAGCCTACGAATTAGAAACCACTTTGAAAGTTATTCGCGGTCCTTTACACGAGTATAAGACTCAAATGGAGCAAAAGAAACGTGCCAGATCCAGCTCTAGCAGTAGTTCAAGATCGCCGAGTTCCTCGCCTAGTCCCAGCCCCAGCCCCGACAGAGATGTTCCTAAAACCACGCCAGAACTGAACGCTCCGAAGAAACATCCCGACGAGGGGTGGTCTAAAGTTTAGTTAAAGTGGGTGCAAGTTAAATCAAGTTCTGTTAAATTCAGTTCAATGTGTGGAGTGTGCGATGAAAAATTAGTAGTAACGAAATCAACGATTACCGATCGCACTTAAGTCGGCATTATCTTTTTCCAACGAAGTTACTGGATATACTCGAAGAAAAGAGACTTATTCAAAGTCGCGCGATGCACTCAGGGTAATTTTTAAGTCCGCTAAATCGGTGCTGAACGCGAACGGACTGCGAGGCAAAGGAGAATGTAATTTATTTTTGTGTTTGTGTGCGTTTGCGTATAAAGAAATCTAGAGTGATATCTTCAGATCTCGACTCAGTCTTCCAAGTAGTATCGGCGGCAACCCTCACAGGCATTAAAATGTCGCGATTATCGAATGCTCAATGCTGTCGACGTGTTTGGAAGACGTTAGAGAAAAATATAGATTATAATTATACCAGGCATCATAAATGTCAACAATGATAAAGAAATAGATGAGCAGTTTTCGAATCAGCTAGTACTTTGACAGAAGTAACATTTTATAACAAATTTTATAATAGATATTATGTTTAATTTGAGATACAACATATGATCAAAATGACACATGTCAAAGTTTTTATTTTCGAAAATACTTTTTTAAAATATTAAGGCATTTATGACGCCCAGTATATGTTAACTTATTGTATTTTGATTAACTCTTTGTTGTATTTAATGTAATCGAGAGGTTATTTCCTGAAAGATGTTAACGGATCATTGTTGTAGATTTACCTTATCACACTTTAAACCGGCCAATCATGGCGCTGTCAGCACCAATCCAATCATTATCTCTCATTCTCGGCCGAATTATATTATAATAAATCTCAATGCAGTGGTGCTGTAGCTTGAAATTCTATAATTATATAATAATGACAGTAATTTTTGCGCATTGGTGCAGACTAAATGCAATTGACTACAAAGTTATTCAAAATTATAATATAAGTATGTTGACCAATGAAAATTTAGTAGTCGATTTGTGTATACAGTGCAAAATGTGTGTAAAACGACGGTTTTTAGTATGCATCGGTGCGCATTAGTACATCCAATCGAATTTGCTATAAAAAATAGCAATTTAGAAATTAACTGACAAGTAATTATTCTGTCACTACGATATAATGCCTCGCGAAAACTGTGAGAAGATTCTAAGAAAATAAATCTTCTGAAGTGTGTTAAGCCATGTTAAGTGTAAATTATGTTTATAATTATGTACATACAAAAATTAAATTATGTATATACAATCATATACGTAATTATTGTATGTATATACATATTGTATGTATATATATTGTATATATAATATTATAATTTTAATTATATAATAAATTATAATATTTTATATACAATAATTATATATGTAATATAAAAAATACATAATGTATACAAATATCTTGCTTAAAAACAAGAGTGTACAATGAAAAAATTGTAATATATTAAGGAATTACAAAATACAATTTTAATTACATTTTTTTATAACTATAAGCTAATTCGCAAAAGTATGTGTCTTTTATCTATATTATTTAATGTTGCGTCTGAAAAAATATATTGACTATTTTCTTATATTTTAAAATAAGTAGACACATCTAAAATTTTTATTTCAAAATATTAAAATATTAAATATCAAATATTAAAAATAATTGAAAATCTTATTAATTTATTATAATTATGGATATTATAATTCGACAGAGGAGACACGAAATTATTTATGAACATACTAAAGTCATTTTAGGCATAGTATTAAATAATGCTGTTGACTATTCACAAAGTGGTATTATGATATACATCAACGTTGATGTTATTGTATATATACAATTTTTCATAAACAGTCAACGAAATTGCTAATCATTAATAATGCGTTTCAATAATTGTCACTGTAAATATCAATAGATACACATTACTATCTTTCCCCTCATCACATATGAACATTAGCATAGATAATAAGTCCATCCAAAAAGACATTTTAGTGATCCAGAAAAGTATAATGAAAGGTAGGTTAATATATTCGCTTACGTACCTCTTATCATATTATAACTTACAAAAATGTTTAATGTTCTTTCAAAACTATCCTTGAAAATTTCTAGTTTCTAAATGATCAAATTCTCTTTATTATAGAAAATCGATATATGGTCAAAGAAACCGTAATGAAAAGCACTTATATTAACTATACTTAACACTATAGCATTACTAATTGCTCTTAATGAAAGCACACGCCAATAACACTATTACTATGCTAATATATACATACTATTTTCACGCGAAAATGTTATAATAGAATTATACGTAGATTATACTTCTAAGCTTATAAAACTTCTTACTTTCGTAAATTTATCCGTCCGTTAAAATAATTGGTTGAATCTATAATTGGCTTTATTTGTCTTGCACTTATTAATAATTTAAAGAAAGAGATTAAATAGAATATTTAATTAAAATAATTATTATGATTCATGTTAGTACAACAAAATCTTTATATAATCTATCTCGACTTTTCAACTAAATTTTTAATTATATATTATAATCTTCTATATTCATCGAAATAAATTAAAATATATTTGTTAAAATAAAATTATATATTTTTATATTTTTATTATATTATATATATATATATATTATTCTGGAGACCTCATTTTGAATTCCTTATAAGTTACTTTTTTACGTAACATTATTAATAATTAAAATATATGCCACATTTCGAACTTAAATAATAGGCAAACTTAAATTAGAAATATTCGAAATTAGAAATTAATTAAAATTTACTGCTAACGTTAGAGTTAGATGGCAACGCTTTTTTACGATAGGAAAATTTTAAAAAACACTTAAGGCGTTTCCATCTTAATCACTCTTTAGTGAACTTATTTTATTTTAAAAGTGTATGTAAATCTTGTAAAAGGGTACGTTTCGAACGAAGAGTTAAAGATCTTTATATTGTTTGTAGTGAATAAGAAGCATAATTAACTAGAGTAATGTGAATGAAAGTATCACTTTCCTATTTCTGATCGTCTCACTGCACAGTTATCTTCCTAAAATATTTTGTACTCTATTCTTAGAAGATATTTCATATATATAAAAATTTTTGTACATATAAAAAATATATAACGTATATACATAGACATTATGTACATTACGCACACGTTATTTTGCGAGTGATATTGCCTTAGCATTTCTCATAAGCTTCAACGCCTAATACTTCTCGATTGCTGCATCAATAGATAATCAAAGCTAATTACATTTGAGAGAGACTATTATATATATGTATATATATATACACACACATATATATATATATATATATACATATATATTGTATATCTGATGTAAATGTTAAGAGAAAAAAACTGTAAAATGTTCACATTAATTGCTAATTCTTTGATGCCAAGTACTTATTTCATCAAATCGTGCAAAATAAACGAAAACCGAGCACTAAAAATCATTTCATGATCAATATTAATCATTTTTATGTCTATTTTGTATCTACATATATATTTTCTAAAATATATCCAAGTCATTAAAATGTACATATTTAATTCGAATTTATAATTAAAACTTTGATTTTATACGAAAGAAAAGATAAATCTGTATCTGTAAGTGACATATGTAAACGAACATCAATATCTTATTTTGAAATATATGAATATCTCGCAGATTCTAGTAATATACTTAATAACAAATGCATAAGCATTTATTTCTACTTTTGTTTGGACATACTACAGTCGCGATACATATACATAAATGTTTATTCGAGCGAAAATGTGCTGTGATTTACGTTCAATGTATTTACTTCCATATGTGAAGAAATTGAAAATAAAATATATACATATATGCAACATTAAATCGAAATTGCACATTTCATCTATGCAATTAATAAATATTCATCCTTATACGAGCCTCCTTTTCTATTATTATATTTTTCTACAATAGTATATACATATATAATTATTCTTTTAATTATTATTTTTGTTTTTATTATAATTTTAATCTAATAATTAATTCAACCACATATAAATTTTATATAAATCAAATATAATGAAAGATTTATTAATTATATATATATATACACAACTAGTTTGTCAAAAATTGTTGATTAAAAACTTATTTTTATAAATTTCTTAAATTTATTTTTGCATCAAATAAAATGATAAACTTACAAAAGTATTTATTTACTTTCGTATATACGTGTGGTGTGTTAATGTGTATATCCATTGTATATAAAAAATATATTATTTATAAATAACTTATAATTGTGCATTTTAATATATATATGAATGTAGAATGTTTATAAAAATATTTTAATTAGAAAAAAAAGAAACTGTTTCAATCGTAAAAAGTTTATTTTTTTCATAATTTTTTCTTTTAATTTTAAAATTTTTTGCATTACAAAATTAGTGGTATTTTTCAAAGATTATCCTATGTGATTTCTCACTAATGCCTAGGAAATTTACATGGTCTACATTATGTAAGTTTATGAACGACTGATATTTTTGGCGGCATTTAATACCTAACCTAACAAAGTGTTACATGTAAAATCGTCCAACATAAATTCAGACTCCAAAAAATAAAGAATCTAAAAAAATGATTGTACCGATTAAAAGGTAAAATTTTTTGACACATCTTTAGCATATAGATTTATACATATATTAGTTATCACACACAATATGAATATTTGTTTATATTATTTACACGCATGTATTATTTATTTGATTTCTAAATCGAATAAAAGTTTATTTTCACATTTTTTTAGAGATGGAGTTATAGAAGATTGGGCTATCATAGATTTACAAGGCGATTTAAAATTCGAAAGAATCGAAAATTCAGATAACCAACTAATTGGCGATCTTCACTTTACAAAAACTGGAGTACCCATTTTAATAATTGGAATTCATGTATTACATGGAAAAGAAATGACACTTGAAAAACCTTTGGTGGTATTAGAGAGACATCGTAAAAATATAAGGGATGAAACAATTGAAAAAGAAGAGCAAAGCGTAATGACAGAATACATTGTAAAGGCTATTGTGAAAAAGAAGCTTCTGTTTAAATCAAGACCAAAATCTATAGTAACTAATGTTCCAAAACCATGTTAATCTAAATTTGCATCAATCATTTGTTGCAATTTTATCTGTAGAAGAAACATTGTCTTTATTTATTAATTTAGTAAAAGTAATTTTATTAATCGAAAATTATAATACTTAATAATATCAGATTAAAGTCTTATATACGTTAAATTTATAATTAATTTATTTTATTTAGTCTTTCATTTCACCTTCTTCATCAGATTCCTCCACCCCTCTTATATACATGACATTGTTACATCTGATTAAAACTTCTCCAAGGTTTCCAGTACAGTTGCCATCGATATGTTCTTCAGTGTTTGCAAGTTGCAAATTCATGTAGCCATCCACAGAAACCAGGTAACCTTTGTATTCGTGGCCCCATTTTAATTTTACCATCACTGGTTTGCCGGTCAATCCATTTAAGAATGGTTTGGGATTTATTGGCATCGTCGCAGCCATGATGGATGTCTGTAATCTACATTTTACAAAAATATTTTAAAAATTATATAACATATGATAAATTAGCATTTGCAATCCATATTCAATATATTTATATCAATATATACTAATATACATATATATATGTATATATATATATGTTTATATATATACTAATATATATATTTAATATTGTTCATTGGAAAATGTATTTACTTAGAATATAATTCTTTGACAATACATTTCAGTAATTGCATTAAATTATCAGCATTGATATAGATTTATACAGACAAATAAGATTTCTTTTTTTAAAGCTAATTTTTAGGTTATAAAAGCATATTAATAAAAATGTGTGTTGAGATAGATATTAAAAATAAAACACATATTATTTTATGAATGTACATATATATCTACTTACTTTTTAAGTTAAAATGTAAACCAATTATTTAGCACAATTTGTGCCGGTTATAACCTCGATTATCACAAACAAGGTTCTCGAGGAAAATATTAGCACGCTGCAAAGAGAAGCTCTCTCTATCAATGTTACCAACTGCAAGACACAATGTGCTATCACGCAATTGGTTGCCGAATAGAGATTTTTTTAAATCTTCCTATTTGACAGCCAATCGTAAAACATTATATCTTCGCTCAAAAGCTGCCTAGTTTCTATAGCTAATCGATATCTAAAATTATAGGTTATAAGCTATGTGAAAATTTTATTTACGTTTGTTTTGCTAAATCAAAATAAAAATTCACCCAAGTAACTTGACTGAATTTAAGTTTATTTAATTAAAAAGATTGTTTTTGTGAGCATCGACAAAAATGAATATTTTACCAAAAAAAAGGTATAAATATTAAAGGATTATCTTTTTGTTAAATGTATTTTTGTATATTGCATATAAAAGAAATATATTCTAATTATAATTATTATTTATTCAGATGGCATGTTAGAACGAAAGAAAATATCGCTCGTGTACGTCGAGATGAAGCGAAAGCTGCTGAAGAAGAAAGAATTAAGCAAGAGCGAAGTCAGAAAGCTGTAAGTTTAATAAATTATTTAAAATATTAATTATAGAGATTTTTGTTAGCAAATCTATTAAAAATAATGTTTACTGACTTGCTGCTCAAAATTATTATTTGATATTATAATTGTGTGATCTTTTTTTTTAGGAGAGTGAAGCAAGAATAAATTTATTAAGGGATCAAGTAAGATTTAAATATGATGGTCGTGAAAAAGTTGACAGTTCCAATGAAAAATTAGAACATGTCAACTTTTTTGCTGATCTTGAAGATGGTAAGATTGATTACAATAAACCTAATGTGGAACATGAAAAAGAAAAAAAAGAAGAGAAGGAAAAATATGAAAAACAAATTGGATATTTAACATATTTGGGACAAGATACTAACGAAGCAACTGGAAAGAAAAATTGGTATGAGGAATTACCGAAGAGACTAACAGATACAGAAAAGAATGTAGAAGTAGAAACAAAGAAAAAAGCTTTGAATGATCCAATGAGTGATATAAAAAGATATTTAAGTGTTATGCGTTCTAAACCTGACGAGGACCATTTAAAAATAAAGACAGAAAGTACTAAAAGAAAACATAGCCATTCTGTTAGTTCTCATTCTGAGGAAAGGCATAGTACACACAAGAAACATAAGAAAGACAAAAACATAAAAACATGAAAAAGAAAAGAAAAAGTATAAGCAATTAGCAAAAAAAGAAGTTGAGAGTCAAAGTAGTAGTATGGATATAGAGAAATTAAGAGCAGAGAGGATGCTTAGAGAGCAAAGTGAAAAGCTAAGGACTGAAGCGCTCTTGGCCAAAGTGAGAGGTGAGCCAATACCTATTGTAGCACCAGAAACTCCTAAACCTGCTATAAAACAGAAATATAATTCGCAATTCTTTCCTGAAATTGCTAGACAAAATGCAGAAAGAACACCTAAACATATATCTAAATAAACTAAACGACTTACTTTCATCATTTGTGAGATCTTCAAAGTTTATGTAATTATTTTAAGTGTATATAAATGTAAGAAATATATAATATACAGTTATTAAGATTTATTTGTTGTATATACAATATATTGTACATATATTAATCAATGAATAATTAAAATTTTGTAGGAATTAACTCTAAAATAAAAAATAACATTTTTTTACAAAATAAATTTTGACGTTTCAATAAATGGATGTACAAAACTATTATAAAATTTCAACAATTTACTATACATTATTTTTTTTATTTTTACAAAAATAATAAATATATACATATATATTATATGTTATTTTATATTTTCTTTGTAAGTAAGGTCTGATTTAGGGAATGTTTCCAAAATTTCCATAGATATTGCCAGTCTTCGGGCGAACAATAATTCTGATTTTGGTACCAACTAATATATGCATTAATTGCATTAAAAGCATTCTTTGCTGTAAGATCATTGTCAAAACTGTCATCTAAATATTCCTTATTTTCTATTTCTATTTCTACTTCTTCATTTTCTTCATTTTCTTCATGATCGATGTCATCTTCATACTGTTCAGGCAAGTTCACTTGCTGATCTAATATTTCCCAGTTTTCTTGTTTTTCATTGTCATCAATCATTTCTTGACACGAGTCATCGCTTGCATCTTGAACAGTAGAATTTTGTTCTTCATCAACATCTTTCTCTGCACGAATTAAAACAATATCATGTCTCTCTTTAAATTTATTCAAAAATCCTGCAGATGCTTTGAAAGTCTCGGGACCATTAAGTGTTTTATTCAACTGCAATGCCTTTTTGCGCAACATTGGTCCTGTCACATGAGTACCTATATCTCTTTCCGCAATATACCATTCATACAACATTTGATCCAGGCGACTATTTTCAACGCCTGTGCATCGTTTTTTCGACGTTTTTCCTTGACACATAATAAGTGAATTTCTTTGTTTCAACAAATTCTCTTTCGACCTCTTTATATTTGCTATTGCCGATGTAGATACTTTATACTCCGGTGCTAAAGATACAGCTTTTTCTCCATTGTCAAGACGTTCTAAAATTTTAACACGATCCTCAATACTGAGACGTGTTTGCTTACTGTGTTCCTAAAAAAAAAATTAGTATTTTTTAATAATTTTGGAAATATGCAAGTGTCAACAAAATCACATTTTAATACAATCTATATTAATGTACCTTCTTTGTTGTCATTATCCCTTTTTGAATATACAGTTGAAATTTGATGTTTTTTTTTTTTCAAAATCACACAAGGAAATGTTTCTTCTATATTTATATATCTCCCAAATCTGCACCCTCAGTAAACTTAATTTCACTCTTGCGTTGTTCTCCTTCTACTTTACATGAAAATATCAATGTGCGCATGATCGAACAAGGATGTAATTCAGACTCGCTCTTGTAAAATATATTTATATCTTAAAGCATTTATTTATTTTTTTCTCATTACCTTCTTATCGGAGAATATTCATTAATCGCCAAAGGAAAAAATATGCACGAAAATTCTCGATTATAAAATAAGCAGCCTAAACATGCGATTATATATACATAGATACACACACACACACATATATATATATATATGCCTATGTGTGACTGCACATATATGTCATGTAACATATGATCACTGTGATCACGTGATAATATGCAAAAATTTGACATCTGTCTATTTTTTGTATATCTCTCACGTCTTAAAGTGATCTCTATTTAAGTAATTTTAGCTGAATAAAGTAATTCATCTCTCGTTTGTATTTCTTTTACGCAGCTTTGCGGTGATATTCTATATATGTATATGTATATATATTCTATATATATGCAATAGAAATGTATTTGGAAATCTCGAACCAGACGCTCGTCTGCGCGAGGTTCTTCGCGAGAAACGATTTCGAATTCGAATATATTTTCAATTGTGTGTTCTCTATTCTTTTTACAAACGTGTCGTCATAAGAAGAATTATTTATTCGATTTATCGATATGTTGAACCCGACTTAAAAATTGTTGCTCGAAATATTGCTAACCTTGTACAATAAACCGCTCGCAGAGATAACCTCTTTATTCTATATTGACGTTTAAATTTGACATTTCGTGAAATAATTATTCACCGAATATTAAAATAAAATTGTTTGCGTACTCTGCTTTTCCTCAACATCGCGCTTTTCTTTTATTGTTTCTAAATATGAATGTGTATATATGTGAATTACATGGTTAAAATACAAAATTGTATATTGATTTTTTTTTATTTTATTGGGGAAGAGTATTGCATATTATAATAAATAATATTATACATTTACATATATTACAAGTCATATATATATTGAAATTTGTATTGCAAGCTGCTCTAAAAAGTTAATGTGCAAATATCCTGAATCTTTAATGGTATGTTAATGTTTGGTTAAATCACTTTACAATCTTTATCAGCGATGAGTGAAGAAACAAATGTAGATGTATCTTATTTGAATTGTGATATAAATGGCACAAAATATATTTACAAAATTGCGCCATATCCAATGGACATGATAAAAGATACATTTAGCGAAGAGCAAAATACAGATGATATCGTGAAGGAAACTAAGCTAGAAAACGAAGAGGAATCAATTTCTTTGGTTTATTTAAATGGACAAGTGTATGCATTTCAAAATGGAGAACTTCAACAATTAGACCCAAATCATATTGTGGAACAGAGCAATTTTCATGAAAAAGCATTCTTAGTATCAAAGGATGTAGAAAATTGTGAGAATGAGTATATCGCTAATGGAAATATAGTAGTTAAAAATACATATGAACAGTCAGAGGAACAATATGATGAAGTTGATACAGAGGAAGCAGAGAAAAATCTTGTTATAGAAGATGATAATGTTAATGTTGATGATTTTGTAGAAATTGTCACTGCTTTCAAATGCAAGATATGCGCTTATATAACTCAAAATAAAATTCAATTATTAGGCCATATTCAAAAAATACATCTAAATTCAAATATAGATATTGAGGTAAATAATCTAAAAATATAAAAACTATGTAGAAATTTATAATGCAATATATATATAAATTGGTTTTATTTTTTTTTACAGCCAAAGGAAGAGTCTAAAAATATGGGTGAAGTAAGAATAGTTTATATGTGTGCGGAATGTTCTAATTGTTTTCCTTCTTTTGAGGACTGTAGAGAACACATGATTAATGTAATAATTTTGAATTTAATTGTTTTTAATGCAACTTATTTTTTATCTGGGCAGTATAATAAAATATATTTCTGATAGGATCATCAATTGACAGATATTGGAAGTGATGAGGCAGGAAAGGAAAATTTGACCGATCTAACAAATCCTGATTTAATAACCGAACATGTAGACCAACATATCGAAAATAATGAAGTAGAACATTCAGTAAAAATCCCAAAAACTTTAAGCTCAGAATATATGCGTAATAAGAAAATGATAGCATTAACTGAAAGAAACGTTAAGTATGTTATTTTTTATGAGAAATATATTCTGTAGAGATATGTTTTCTTATATATATATTTTTTTACTTGAACTTTTATAATCTTTGCAAGGTGTTCGTATCAAAGTTGCCCATATAAATTCGTCTCAGAAGAAATTATGCAGCAACATATTCTATGTCACACAGAATCTGAAACTGGGGCAAAATTCAAATGCAGTGTATGTCGAGATATGAAATTTACAAAGTGGCGCCAATGTAGTTTACATTTGTGGAAAAAGCATCAAATTGGTTTGTAGATAAAACACAAAAACAGTATATAAGTGGTGCAAAAACAATTTATATTCACAAAATTATACTTTTATTTAGATATAGGTCTATTTACTTGCAAGATATGTGAAGCTTATAAAAGTGCTACCATGGTGAAGCTTTTAACACACATGAGAGTGCACAGCGATACTCGTGATTACAAGTGTCCAGATTGTGGGAAATGTTTCAAGCAAGCTAGTCAATTGCGCAATCATCGTGTAATGCATTTGGATCGCAAAACCTTAGAAGTAACTCGATGGTACACTTCTAAGAAATGTGATATGTGTGGCAAAACCTATGCCAATTCGAAATGTTTGAAGAATCACATTCAAGCCGTGCACTCAAAGCTACGTCCGTATGTTTGTAATGTTTGCGGTCACTCTAGCGCCAGGAAAGCCATGTTGCAAATGCATTTACGTCAGCACACAGGAGACAAACCTTTCAGATGCGAGATTTGTGAATATAGAACTGGAGACCATAACTCTTTACGACGACATATTATGCAACATACAGGCAAGTATTATAATGTATTAATTATATGATTATCGTATATATACTTTTTATATAAAAGAACGATTTGATTTTTTACTACAGGATTTCGACCGTATAAATGTCCACATTGTTCATATACTGCAATACAAAGTAGTAGTTATAAAAATCATTTAAAATCGAGGCATCCTCTACTATCTGGCTTATTTACATGCGACTTGTGTCCTTTTAAACAGTAAAAAATGAAAGCTATATTCAACATATAAAAGATCACGAAAAGGGTTTAATAAAATCTAATGTGCAGAAAAAAGGTAATACTAAAAAATCTATTAAACTGTGTGCATATATGCTTCTCATAATTTAGTGAATCTTTAAATTTCTTTATTACTTTTTGTAGATAACGAGAATGTAGAAGTCTTTCCTGGTAACATCGCGGCAGCCCAATTAGTTTATAGCTGCCTGGGTGCCTTTTCGAAAGACGGAGATACATTAGAAGCTAATTTGATGTCTTCCTCAACATCTGCTGATGGTACTTCACAAACAATTACAATACAAATACCATCGAAACATCTCGAAGGTTCATTATCAACAAGAGAAAGTTTAAACAAAACTGATTCTACGATCGAGCAAGAGGATGACGAAACGATGCATTGCTTCTTAAAAATTCCTAGGGAAGAAGAAGAAAACATAGACACTGGTGGTATAACAATACCTGCAGAACCTGAGGAAAGAAGTGTGAGAAGCATCGATATTGAAGATACCATGACAACTAGTGATATTGAAGAAACAAATGTGACAACTATAGATATTGATGCGTGAAATTATGCAATAATAAATTAATAATTTATGTCAAAAATTAATAAAATGATCTCCATAACTATTGTTTTCTTGCTAATATCAAAGATCTTAGCTTATTTTATTGATATTCCCTTCTGCTTTTTTGCAATAAATATTAGAGACGTAAATAAAATCAAAAATAAATCGAATAAATTTTAGCAATTCTGTTCATATTCAAAATCTTAAATATAATTTTAAAGCATAATATATCATAAAATGTTTTTTTATTCTTGCAGGTATATTTATTAATTAAAATGATGGAACATTGTACATAAAAAATGTAAATTATTAGTCTCAAAATGTTATAAAATGTAAATTACATTATTCTTTTGAGTATTATATTTTAGAGTAAAATAAAAATATTTTAGAATAAACAGAAAAAAATTTTTGATTTTGATAAAACAAAGCAAAAGAAATAATATAACTGAAACATAAATTAAGAGATTTTTCTCTTCATTCTTTTTTAAAATTCTTTTCCTTTTTTAAAATTATATTCTGGCCAATTCACCAAAATAAGCTGTACAAGCTGTTAACCTGCCATTGAGCATATTTTGCTGTAGTTCCACCTGACCATACTTTTCAGCTAATTTGATAATCTGTAATTTTTTTATATTTATATTTAATCAATATGCAAAAACATATTTTTTTTAAATATACTTAAATACTACCTAGTAGTTCTAAAATTATTAATTATTATATTAAAATTATTTACCTGTAGAGGATCTGAATTTTTGGGTAGGTAATAGGCCACATGTTCCGTAATTTTCTTTGCTGCTTTAAATACATTTCTTCCACCAACAGGGGGCATGATATTTTCAAGGTTGAACACTTTCCTCTTTATATAATCAGGACCACCCCACGGTGGACTTAAAAACACAACGTCTGCAACCAATCGTGGTGCTAACTGCAGAAAGTCTCCAGTAATAAATTCTATTCTATCATCTACACCATAAATTCCTGCATTATGTCGAGCAATCTTAATTTTGTTGGGATCGATGTCTATTGCAATCACTGTAAAACCAAAGTATAATCTTTAAATGTTTGTTCACAAGTTTTTAATGGTGGTATATAGTAAATAGACATACCTCTCTCGCACGTAAATGCAAATTGAATAGAATTACTGCCTGCGCCACAAAATGCATCAATAATTGTATCACATCTACATCTTTCAGCTATATTTTTCGCTATTTCTTCTGGTGTCACAGAAAACCAACTCTCTGTAAAAAATATAATTATTATCACTTTATATAAACAAAAGATGTTTATAATTTTTAAGGGATATGTAGAGTTGTTTACCGCGATCTAATTTAATTCCATCTTCATATCTGCTGAAGAGACCAAATCGTTTGATATAATACTTCCACAGTTTATAATCATTAGCTATTTCCTTTGGAAGGATTCGATTCAACCTCTTAACTTGCTTCTTCTTCTTCTTTATTTTATACATCTTTTTTACATTATCTTCGTCGTCAGAGCTTGATGTGAATGCTTGTGCTTTTGCATAGGAACCTTTCTCATTAGACTCTACATCGATTTCTGCAGGTACCGATGATAAATTACAGGATAAATATTTGTTTGTCTATAATCAGAAACAAATGCGTGCTAAATAAAGGAAATTTTATATGCTGCGCATAATCTTACATGTGACCTTCGCACTTTGTACTTCGTACGTGAAACACTACGGGAAAAATATGTGAAGGCATTGAAGACTTTTAATGATCGTTGAGAGCTTATAAAAGTATTAAAAGTTTGTGTAACGCACATGTCACGTGCATGCACGAACGAACACATTTCTTGTGTTTAGCAGCAGAACAATAACCTCTAAAATCAGTATAGGTGTGTGTGTATGAGCGCGCGTGCGCACATGTCACGTGACAATTGTCAAAGAGTTGATTATAGAAACATGCATCATGCATGTATATACGAAATATTGATAATATAAAATTGATAATATAAAATTGATAATATAAAATTAATATAATAAAATTAATATCGCGTTATAGGCTAATCATTTAGATTTTTATTATAGCTAAAACCATCAGCCTTTTCTAGTTATCTATATTAATGTTTTTTAGAAACTACATGTTCTTTTACTATCATGATTAGATTTGTAATATATATATAATAAAAAAATAAAAAAATATATAAAATAAATATAAATATATAGCATATTTAATGTTTTTAGCTAGATAAAATATATTAACAAGTTTAAATTCATTAAAAATAAGCAATAACTGCAGCCTATTTTACATATAAAAGTATAAAAAACATAAAGGAATAAATTACCTTATTTGTATGTTTGGTAATCATTTCTGCATCATCAAAAGTGGTTTTATGTGTAGTTTTCATTCGTTTAAGTTCTGCCATTAACTGAAAACTTTGTCGCCTAATATTACGTTTCCGGTACACAACTTCGCCTTGCAATTTTCTTTGGCTTTCGTCTTCAATTAAGCTATAGCCCATTAATGAGAAAGCTCTTTTTACAGCTTCTAAACCATCTTCATTATCGTTGCAATTACTTTCGTGACTGTAATAGGGAAAAATAAAAATAATATAAATTAGAATAGAATCGAAATATAGAAAAATAAAGAATAAAGATTTATTTACAAGAAAATTATTATTATTATTATTATTACTATATATACTATTATATAATTTTTGCTTTATTATTATTAAATATATACCTTTGTTGAACTTCCTTGTGCAGTTCGTCTCCTTCATCAAAAGATTTTTGTTGATTATTATTGAAATTGTAATTGGAAGCTCCTGTTTTAGTTTCTGTAGTTGAAATTTGAGCATGTGTAGTCTGTTGTTGCTCTTCACATGAATTTTCTTCCTCAACAATATCAATATACTCATTCTCTTCTGTCTTTATTGTTAGATTTTTCATAAGCATACCCACAGAATCCATAATTAACCTTTGCGTTTTCGCTTTAGATTTTGCTACAATTTTTCGTGTGCTTTTATTTCCAAATAAATTAACTTTACTTGATGTAATTTGGTCGATTTGTACAGTGTCTGTGCTCTCGTCTCTTCGATTTTCACGGATATTAATTTCTGAAATTTCCTTGTTAGGTATACTTTCTTGCTGCTGGAGAGTTACATCATCTTGTTGAAGTACTATTGAATCTCCAATTCGTTCATTTAACGTGTTAAAATATAATTTATCACGATCTATATTGTGTTCCTTTTTAAAATTAGCTATAAATAATTCATACTGCTTTTGATATTGCATCTGAAAATTCTCCTTCCACAGATGTTGCCAATATTTATCATTATCTTCTACTGAAAATTCGTTTTCTTGATCAGAACTGCTAGTTATACTGCTTTCAATGGAACTTGTAACGGAAGTAATGAGACTAGACGAATGAACAGAATTGGAATCACAACTAGAACTAGTTAGTGTCATTTTGGTAACATTTGTCATGGAATCAGAAGTCGCATTTGTTTTTGCTATCGAGCCATTAACAGAGTCACATCTCGTTAATAATCTCTCATCTTCTGCGTTAGACTGTTGATTATAATTTTCTTCTATACTGAATGGGCTTAAAGGATTCCAACCATCTCCATCTTCTGGTGATAACTCGAAATTGATAATTTTCTTTCTATTTTCATCCGCATCTTTGTCATTAACATCTTGTCTGCCCGTTTGTTCAAATGAAAAACTAGTATTCGAGGAAGATATTGCTGCTAATTTGAACTCACCGTCGCTCGAGTTACTTTTATTGAAAATTCCTGCGAAGTTAGAACGTAGAATTTCGCAGTTTTTGTGCGCTTGATTTGGGAAACACGTATTTTGCTCAAAATATTTCTCTACGGCTACTTCATTAATTTCAGCATCCTGTGACTTTTCGTCTTCTGCCATGCATGCATTAGTCTGAAAATAATCAGGATTGATATAATCTGCATATTTTTCGATCCAAGATGCCCAGATTAACTGTTCTCCATTTTTAGCCCAAAATTTTTCCCATGCGATGTCCATTGCACTTTTATTCTTTCCATAATATGCAGAATAAGAATAATCATTATAAGAGTCGCAATCATATTGCATAAAAGAAGTGAGATCTTTGTTGTGTTCATCTTCAGTTGGCATAATACTATTTGATAAACTTTGTGCCATTGATTCCTCCTTGTCATCTAAAAAAAAAAACAATATAAATCATTAATATACATTTATTTTTTAATAAGTTATAAAGTTTAAAACAGTTTTTTAAGGATTGTTAATAATGCCATTACCTGATACATGTTTATATTCAGTTAGCATATCTACATTTTCGTAACTGTTTTCAATTTCAGTCTCTGTAGTTTGGAAAGTCTTCCCGTAGGATGCGACAAGATTCTGTATACTTTTCGCCTCATGCTGATCATGATATTCAGAGAGATCTGCACCAGAATCTGACTGATGTAGACCCAGTTTTTGGGTCAAGGAATGTGCAGTGGGCCAGTGAGTTGAATCGCGTACAGAGTCATGTTCGTCCGTAGAGTAATTGTTATCTGTATGAGATGCGCTGCAATAACAGCTTACTGGTTCTTCCTGTATCAAAAAATCGAAAATTAATATAAAACGGTAAAAAGATATATGTTCATTGTCTACTTCATATATGTATATGTTAATAAATGATCATACATCATGTTTTTCTATGGATTGTGTCTCGATGGTAGATTCTTTGTAAAGATCCAACATCTCCCCCACGTAATCTCCATCGATATCTTCTCCTTCACTGGCATCTTCTGAAGCTAAGACTGTATAAACCTCAGGAGTCCTAAAAAGAACAATTAGCATAGAAGAATCAATGAGAATATATAAGTACAATTATAATTATAGCAAGTTTTAATATCAAAATTTGTAAGACAGAGAAGACAAAAAATGTCCAACTCTTTTTTACATCCCAAGAAATCTTTTCTTTATTCTATTGAAAAATAAAATATCTTTGTTTTATTTATAAAGCTCACTTCAAATCTATAACTGAATCTATAATTTGTAATGTAAATTCAAGATAGAAATCTATAATTTTATGTTACATATCTTAATGTATTTATATATTTTAAAATACATTTTAAATGCATATTTTGCTTCTTTAATTGTTTTCTGTATTACATACGCAACACATAAAAAAATTCGAATACACGAAATAGAATTCTAATCCACATTAATTTAAAGTGAGTTTAAACATTACAAATTAGTTGACATGAAAACATCTTTCCTACATAAAGATAGTTTCAAACTTTTCTTTCTTTCCATTTTATAGCGATAACTACATGATGCATAATATTACAATTTGACCAAATTTTGCAAAATTTATTTATGAATAATAAAAGACGAATCATCGACTAAATGCTTATATTTTGAGAAAGTCAAAGGTTTATAAATTCTGTAAAATTTTGTCAAATTATGACCTGACAATGCACCATATGATTATCATTAAAAGCATGAGAAGGAAGAAGAGTTTGACAGTAACTATTATCTGTTATCAATTTCCGAATTTTAATTATTCCTCAGGTGACATGAGAGAACAGGGCTCGAAAAATTGACCGCGAAATCTTAGTTAATCGCGATGGACGAGTGGGTGTCAAGGTTAAATCATGTTTCACACCACTGATCAATAAGCGGGTTAATACTTGATAGCGTTTCGGGTATCTGACAATCGTGTGGGCGCACCGAGTATTTTGTTTCGAGAGGAAAAAAAAGGCCAACAAGTCGAAGAATCGGGGTACGATCTACGCCAGGAGGGCACTTACCGGATAAATACTCTACTGCAAAGACAATAAATGTAATCGTCGGAATCGGAGCACTCCCGATCCGCGATGTAGATTTCAGCTAAGGGCTCCCAAAATTATCGCACATCCCGAAGACAGGGTCTTTTCCTCCTTCAGTCTATCGCGTTCTCGTCGATCGTCACAAATGCGACATGCCTCATGCCCAAAATCTTCACGACCACCGCCGCGCGAAAACAATCCGCCAAATTCTTCGACGACACAGCATCGCGAGGTTGATTAATCCTTGGCAGACCTGTCGGACCTTAAGCTCCGTTCCATGGACGCGCGAGAAAAATCGACCAATCGAAGTCGAGTACGATGAACGCGGCAATCGATTCAATTAAACGTAATAATCGATCGATTTCTCTCGATGCATATATAATTATTATGATAATGAACATGTAGACCTTTTATTTTTTACTTGTAAAATAGCATATACGTGATTGGTTGTTGGTGCGATTATGACAGATGTCTGGACGAACCTTTAAACGGGGAGCACACACTTTTGCATAAGTGCATAAGCATATGCATAAGAAATTCGATTGGTTAAATTTTTTATGCATACGTTTATAGACCAATCAAGATTCTTATGCTTATGCTTATGCGTCTATGCAAAAGTGTGTTCCCCGCTTTAGTAATTTTGTATCACTGCTATTATCGCAATATTATCAACAATCGATTATATCGATTAAAATTCTTCCTGGTAGGAGCTATATAATTTTAACAGTATTTTGTCTATTTGATTATTTTTTTATTGCGTAATGTTGGCTATAAAGTATTAGAATGTAATAATTTTTTTTTCAAGGTACGCCAGATTCATAAGTTTCTTTAATAATTTTTTATTCGTAGATAAGAAATTAGAAATTAATAAGAAAACAATTAAATCTAATATTTTTAAATTGATGGAAATTGTTCTATAATTGCATTGATAAGTTTTCGTTTATAAGAATATTTAACAAATATATCTCATTTACCTGTACATTAGTATTTGCCTATTATTTTAGCGTAAATAACTTGCCCTTTTTAAATTAATTTAAATGATTTGATTTAATTGATTCGATGAAAATATTATCGACGTATACAAACTCTTCACCGGAACCTGGCGCCATCTGGCTTTCAATTCTATGTAGTCTTCGATTTAAAGATGCACGCCACACGTCGTATACGTCTCTCCTCCAGTATTATCTATAAAAAATGTTACTTATATTCTTTCAAATAATAAATTTCTTGTTTCGTGAACGTCAAATAAAGCATCAATGAACATTAGAAGAAGAGAAACATATGTTGAAACTTGAATGCGTATGTAATATTTTCATTATACTAAATTAACCTTTTCAATGCAGCAGGTATTCGCCGACATATATTTATTATAAATTTGAAATTGTCAACTATAATTGCGATAATTGACAATTATTGTATCAAATGATCAAAGTAACAACTACTAATTGAAATATTTAATTGCATTAAATGCTGAATATTTGTAAAACACATAATATTCATGTCCGCATTTTTATAATTAATAGCCAATTTCATCAAGTCCAGTTAAATAAATCGACGATTAAAATTAGCAGAGTTGCAAATAGACATGAAAATATTCATGACATTTATAGACACGCAAATGCTTGGTTTTGACCACCCTGCTAATTTTAACCATCGATTTATCTAACTACATTTAGTAAAATTAGCTCTTAGAGCCAATTTCACCAACCTCGAGGTTAACTTTAACCTCCAATTAAACTATATCTTTGTCTCTTATTAATTAAAGAATGTATCTGAAAAGAGACAAAAGTATCTTATTAAAGAATGTATCTGAAGACAAAGATATAGTTTAACCGGAGGTTAAAGTTAACCGAGATTGATGAAATTGACTCTTAATCCGCTTCCTCTTTTGTGTTTCGATATATCGAGAATCGCAAAGTTGCGCCGTTCGATAGATCGCAGTCAAATTTCAAAACGCGTCGCGGAGTCGTGATCTATATCGCTTCGCGTTTTTCGTGATTGTTATTCTTGCCGTGTAAACAGTTCTCGCGAGTGTTTCTCCTTACAAAATATCAGACAAAACGCGCTAAATTTCACGTAACTTCGATAATTTGCATCTTTATATCCGGAGAATGTCGGGATTTCGGGTCGCATCATAGCGCGTAATGTAAGATATACAATATTCAGAAATGTCATCCGCATGATTACGTTATTATTATCGTTATTACTAGCACGTATAAAAACATTTTCATGTGACACATTTAATTAATTTTGTTTCTTTGTTTTCAGATAAAAGATGTCCCGAACGGAAATTTGTCCGGCGATATCGATTTATAGATACATTTGTGCATCACGATGCAAAGATGCAATGCGCACGAGAGAAGAGATAAATATTTGTCGGAATACCCGACAAATAACGCTATCTCGCGGGATGCTGCGAAATCTCGGCCGCGTGAACGGAGCAATGGCGTAGGCGGTGATCCATGTGATAAATTAATTTTTATTACTTCGTGGGTGGCGGCTCTTTCTATTGGTCGCTGATCGGGTACCTCCTACTTCGCACAATGCATCGGGCCCTCTCCAGCTTTATTCTGCGCAACGACGGTGATAGAACGGCGCACCATTTGTCTCGTCTTAAGACGAAGCAAAACTCAACGAGGGAACCAATCGCGATATTGCCGCGCAGATTGGGAATTGCATGCGACCGTGGCTGGGATATTCATGCGAAGGTGTATTACATAGGTATTTTTCTCCCCCGGTGAGTCACGCATGATTAAATTTATTTATGCGATTGTACGAAAATTTATTATCGATCGGAGCGTTAACGATGATATTTAACGTGGTACAACTAAAAAGATAAGCAGAATAGAAAAGCAAGCCGTAATCGTTATCGCAAAAAGTAAATTATTAATGATAATTATTGACACAATTAATAATTGTGTACATAATTATTATAAAATACTATTCAAGGGAATAGTCTATGAGTCAATGAGAAAATCAGATGAATGCATTATTAATTTATATTAATGAACGTGACAGTCAAATGCATCTGGAAAATAGTAAAATATTTTCGTAACAAAGTGCGACAAATCATCGCTCGAATAATATGCACTTTCCATCTACGTATAAAGTCATTGACACTATCACGTATTGAAATCATCAAGTGATTTATATGTTCGTATTTCCTCTCTCACACGTACCCTCTTATTAATAACTTATAATTGAGTTATTAATTATAAATGTGATTATTATACAAATCTCCATCAGATATCTGATCTGATATAAGATCATTTTATGCAATTTAATTCCTATATTCTAAATATTACATATTAACTTAACGTGACAAAATATCTGTTATGTTAAGAAAAGAATTGCATTCAAATTTTATAACAGATGTTGTGTTTTGAATTAATATAATATACAATACATATATAATTCATACTTTTAGATTTGCATTTAATAAATTTGAAAGAATTGCGGAAAGTATAAAAAATTAGAAAGATTGACTTGTAATGATCTTTCGTAACTGTATTTGTACGATCATAGCGCGAACATTTGCAGTTTCAAGTTGCTGTAATCTCGATTGCGTTTACTCAAAGCCGCACCTGTGGTAGCCGGCTGTGTAGTAGGCCGTGCAGAAAAAAAGATGCACAAGCAATAAAGTACCCTAGTATACGATGTGGTAGTGCTTTCTTCGATTACGTTTACGAGGTGGCTGACTGCTAAAGTTACGCGAATCACCGTTAAACGTTGCACTGTGCGCTATGTTTTACAGCGTCAACGCAATTCCTGCATCTAACTTTACTCTCCTTTGACTTAATTTAAGCTTTGTTCAATTATTTCGCTGCGAAAAACTCGCACAATAAGTAAATGTCCGATTTTATCTGAAATTTGTTGAAATTGAAGTAAATAAAAAAATGGGAAACATATACAGCACTGAAAAAAATTTGTTAACTTGACTGAATCTTTCAATTAAATTACTATTTTGTTAATTGAACATATATTAGTATTTAAATCAAATATACGTTTGATTAGATTTTTAATATGTTACATATATTTAATTAAATATTTTTAGATGTTCAATTAACAAAATATTTAATTAAAAAATTTAGTCAAATTAACACATTTTTTCAGTGTAGTTAGGCATACTGGAAAAAATTTTGTTGCATTAACAAAAATTCTGGTAGATTCAACCAGTAATTCTGTTTCGTCCATTTTCGAACAGAATTATTGTTAATGCAACAAGATTTTTTTCAGTGCACGAATTGACGAGATAATTCTTTTAACATCTCAAGATAATATTAAAAATATTAATATAACATAATTACAAAATTAATATAGTTTAGGTTCTAATTAAAAAATGGAATCTACACGATTATACTGAAATTAAAATTTAATTACATCTTATATGAATGTATATAATTTCTGTGTATATGTATAAGCTTTTTACTTGAAACAAAATTAATATCTATAATTATTTTTTCATCGCAACTTACAAATTACTTTAAGAACATTTAGAGAATCACGTATTTGATTATAATCTCATGTTTGATTATAATCTCGTTCATGATTATCGAGTTCTCGATTACCATTGAATATTATCACAGGTGAGTAATTAATAGAACATTAAATGGAGACATCACATGAGAAAAAAATTAGCTATCGTAGCAAAATTTTAGCAATCTCTATATCGCAACCTGAATTTTATTATCATACTTAAATTTTAGCTTAATTTAGCTAGTAACTAATATTTTTTAGTTTATTGGAGAAATGATATGGCTAAAAATACTAGCTATCATAGCTACAATTTATAGGCGTGATAACTAAATTTTATGTTTAATATATAAAGACAGCTAACATTTATTAAATATTAAAATTATTTTTGCTGCAAATTTCACTTTGTTTTCCAATAAATCATCTCTTTGGAAGATATCAATTTAATGATACTATTAATATGTAAAATTTTACAAATTCGTCTCACACACACAAATTTATTTCGACTTTAATACATCGCGATCTCTAATTGATGCTTCTTAATTTTTATACACAAGATTCTCTTATTCGCGACAAGTCATGCTCTCATGCGGTTAAAAAATTGAGCGATTCTACGATTTTCCACCGGAACCGCGACATTACAGAAAGCAAAATAAAATTCTCTATCGCGAATCTGCATATAAGATACCGCTGGTTCGTGCAAAAGAAGGGCTGTGTATGAGATTAGAGGAAGAGAGGGAAGCGCGCATACGTTTGTCGTCTCTTCGGTCGCGAGAGAATCGCGGCTCCTCGCGAGAGGATCAGGTTGTAACTGGATGGTGGTGAAGAGAGATGAACGCAAGGCGACTATCCGGCGCGAGACAAAGTACGAAACGAACAGCTGGAATGACGGAGAGAGGAACGAGCGAGAGGGAAACAGCTGTACCGTGTTGCCTCCACCGTGTGCTTCAGAGACGGATGCTGCGTTCGAGAGATAGAGTGGGGGGAGAAAAAGAAAGAGAGGGGAGGGAAGAGAGACGGATGAAAGAGAAGCAGAAGCGAGAGACGAAGCGGGATAGAGATGAGCGTGAGAGAGATGAGATCGACGTAGCGCGACAGAGACGGCGAGCCCGCAAGAAGGCCGCGGTAGTCTTTCTCAGCTGGCCAGGTGAGATAAGGATGAGACGGACAAACGGATTGACGAAGGTGCCTAAGGTAGGGGATACTGGGGGATACTCAGTCTGGCGGCCACGTGCTACACGAGCGCACGCCCCGAGCCGGCCGGCGGTCCAGCCAGCCATCCACGACGCCGATCCTCTTCTTCTTCGTCCCCGAATCATTCCGCGCGTTTCCTCCTGTGTTCCTCCCATCCAGTTTATTCGTCTCTTTTCTTTTCTATTTTTTTTCGTTCAACTTGTGACGCGCGTGGAAATCGTCGAAAAGTCGCGCGACGTAGTTTCGAGCGCGAGCGAGCACGCGATCGGTGTGATTCTCCAGCGTATGTTCTGAAGGGTTCGACAGCATAGTGATCCTACAAAAAAGATTCGATAGACATTCGATTTTTGTGATATCGGTCGGTGATCTCTCTTTCCGCGCGACGATAATGTACTATGATCCTTCTTGACAGATGATCGCAATTTTTCTCTGTCAGAGGATATCTTCTCCACGCGAGTGCAACATCATCAGTTTGGAATAATGACGCTACCACGACGGAAACGATCGCGCACCGTTTAATAATATACAGTGTACAGATGAAGAACGTGCGTGTCGATGTGTTTTCTATGTTGGGAAAGAGCAAACGACTGATAATGAGTATTGTCGCGGCGGACTGACGCGCTTGAAGGCGCGAAAGTGTTAAAAACTGACTGGAGGATTTATATTCAGGAGTGTGTGCCTTTTAAGAAGAAGAGGATTAAAAGGAAAATATCAGTGGAGAATTTTGGACAGGTATGTATCGCATACATATTTTTCACATTCACACACATACAGTCGTGTTTTTAAATTTATGAGTGTCGGAATCATAGGCAGCCTTCAGAAAAAAATTCCTTTATCCTTTTCCCAGAAAAGAATCATCTCTTAATAAAATTCATCAAAATTATTTCTGTGCCTCAAATATATTCATTCTCACATTTTTTAATTCATACGTCTATCATATATATATCCTTGAGGAAAAGAGCGAAATGAAAAATCTTATGTGAAAGATTTGTATATCTTATTATATGTGATATATTTTCTATCTATTCTCCAATAATGATATTTTTCTGAAGAAACAGGTAACTGCAATTTCTCATTGTGCAAATCTATGATTAAAACTCTTGTCTATTCACACTATTACTATAATATATTCGCTAACGATTATGAAAGCAATAGTAGGTAATACAATGTTTAAAAAATTTTGATATATATTATTTCATTTTAATTTTTTTATTCATTTATATATAATATTTTTTAATATTTGAAAACGATACCGCCTTTCCCGCAATTTCTAAATGTTAACAGCAAACATAATGACTTCTTGCTAAAACTCAATAGCTCTTTCCTTATTTGCGTATTACGTTGGTTTATCTCAGTTGATTGTTCGATACGATGAAATTTCCACTGACATTCGATATAATCCCGCCGGCAAAGACTTTAGGCGTGCCACGCAAAATTAATCAAACTTATCTCTCCATTCGATTATTTATAACATAATTTTCTGACATAATGTGAACGCCGTGTCCTTCGTTTTTCTCACATTTATCGAACAGCAGTTGAGATTCGTGACATTACCCTCTCATAACGAGTTTCAAACATATAGTGTCATAGCGCGATCTCTCTTAATCATCTCTCGAGTCAATTTAATAAATAACGTAACAATATCTCTCGTGAGAAAAACCTTTCACTATGCTAGACGTGGAGATGCTCGATTAATCCCTTGTAAATGAAATCGAGTTACGTTTGCGTAACAACAAGTCAAGTGTCAGAAATTAACAGTAATTTAGCTCGATACTTTAGACTTGAAACTTTTAAAGCGGAAACTTGCGCTACACGCGAGGTGTATAATTAGAGATTCACAATATACCGGCACGTTGTATTTGACCTGAAATTCGCAAATGGAATTCGATTGATGTAATCTCCGCGTTCGCGAACAATTCGGCAGCCGGTGCCGTTACACGAAAAATCGATTCGGACGGTTGTGATTAATTTGTCACGACTTAGAGAGAGGAGAGGAGGCGCAACAATTTCAACTGTCTGCAGCCGATGATATCCGTGTGACGTGCCGCTCACAACCGGTTCATTAAAGGTGCAGTCCGCTCGTCACTCATTGACTGCCACAGCTTGGCAGCGATCGAGATGTTCGCGCGTCCGCCCGAAAAGGAGAACAAGAGTAAAAAAGAAAAAAGAAAAAGAAAAGAGCGAGACGCGCGTATATATTATAATATACACGGGTGATGCTTTTGACGCGACGTGTGTTTCACCTTTCAATCATTATTATTGCGAAGACGAGTTAGAGGCAGCCGATCGCGCGATCATCTGTCAGAAGATCTGTGAGAGAAAAAAATATTGCCGGACAATATCGAATTATTAATATATATCGAGATAGAGAGGAGTGGCTTTCGCAAGGTGAGAGGAATCTATCGATAGAAGAAACGAGAATTATAGCAATGACGAAATCAACGGCGGGAGGCTATATTTGAAAAATCGTTATCGCTATCGAAACTAAATAAGCACGCGTGTATTTCGTTAGACATTTCAATAAATTACCGCGCAAACTTTCGCGGGGATTGATATATTGGATATCACGGCCGTTTAGTGGATAGAATATTTCGGAGGTTCGAAAAGGTCGATCGGATTTTTTTTCTCATATCGGAGCCGATAATTAATTCAAGACTCGATTCTGATCGAACGAACTTTGGATCCGCGATGGAATGCGGTTAATATGCTTTAATAATGCGACGCGATCGAAACATTGTTCTTGAGCGTCAAATGTCAAATCTCGTGTCGTTCGTCGTCACGGGGAATAAATTATATTATGGCGACAACGATTTAATTTAACTACCTACGCGCGGTACCATTATTTCTCGTGACGGCTAATTACACTTGAATACCCTAATTATTTTCACAAATTAAGTTCACAATCGATATTACAAGATCCTAGAGAGGTTCATAATGGAACTATATATTCGCGCAGTTATTTATTAAGCGAGACGAACGCGCCGTGTTCGCGTTCTTGTTGTACAAGGAAAGAAACGAGTCTCCTCTCGATTCTTCAAGGACCGAGGATCTTCGACGTCGCGATCCGCGTAAATACCGGAGACGTGGAATCCTTACGTCGCGTAATGAAACATATCAGCGATGACGGTGCGCTGATAATAGTTTTAAGAGCGAACGCGGCGTCCTTCGGCATCGGCTAATGAAATATATGCTCGTTAGACGCAGCTCGAAAAACGCAAATAGGAAAAACCCTGATTACATCGACGGCCAGTCGTCATTTGTCGTCGTAACTTCGGGGAACGTGTATGTTCATCACGTGCGTTACAATTGCGATATACCGCGCGCGTTAATCCGTGAAAACAAGGATTTATCGGAAGAGCCAAAGCATGGCGGAGATATTCAGGTGGAACCGGTCTTTCGCGGCTCTTAATTAATTTGTCATTAGTCGGCAAAGAGAGATGGTGCGCAATAAAATTTATCGGTGGCCGCGGCGGCATCATCTCTTCTTTTTGTCGCGAAGACGGCAGATTATGTCGATTTTAATATTACATATACGTCTGCAAAAGCAAAACGCGCTCGCGTGCGTCAAAAATGATCATTTGCGATCATTTTTTGATGGTCGCGTGAATAAGAATCGTATCGTTTTTTTATTTCAGATAATATTTATCCTTAGAAATCACGTAGAGTGTAATCCAGTGTTATAAACTATAATAATGAGTTATATAATCAGGAAAATTCCTCGGTAGTGAAATATCAATTGAATACTGATTACGTCCTAAATATAAAGTATAATATTTCGTGGAGATATTTACTTTGAACAGAATTACAGCGATGTGTTATAATAGTTGCACTTGCTATAAATTATTATTAAAAGACGAAAAGCATTTTTATAGTTTCGGATATATTATAGTTCACGTTTCGGCCTCGAATTAATATAAATCGATAATTAAAGAATTTTAGCGAATAAAGCTTTATTAATTATGGATTTTGCGCTCGTTTTTGCTGATATTCATTAATATTTCAGACTGAAATGTACCAGTTCTCCTTGATACACGCTGCTCCACAACTCTCCAATATCGTAACATGTTACAACTTGTGCATTATAATCATGCCACCATAAATTCGTGGCATTTAACGCAATCAAATCTGCTTCAATTATAATTCATGAATATTTAAAATCTATAATCTCTGTTGCTATAGATTCGAGGCATATAACGCGATCATGTTGCAAGTATGTATAATACGTGATCGAGTAGATTAACTCACTGCGGCACCAATTACTGCGTTCTTAATCGTGGCTTTGCGATTGGCTAACTAAGAAAATCTCGGTATCCTCAATTAACATTTACTTTCAAATCGCAATCTCGAAACTGGTCTAATTCTCTAAGCTCTGCAGATCATTATTTCATACATCGTTCTTCGCGCTAATTACATGTAGATGAGATTTATTTTTCTAATTACTTTATAATTCGTACGAATATTGATTTCCTCGTATATTTATAACATTCGCAGTTCCGTTTTGAATTTGCTTCGAGCTAACGTAAGTTTATCCTCGATAAATTGAAATTAAATCTCGGTAATCACATAACACACGCACACACACATACGCAGAAGCATCTACACGTTTACACACGTCGGTTAAAATCCCACATGGTGCGCAGGGCGAAAATTAATACGTGGCAGCCTCTGTAATTAGCTCTCGTATTTATGCGTCTCTCGCAGGGCGGGCTGCGTTAACATGGTAATGGCGTTACATCGTTGTAAACACGACATGTTATCTCGAACGATACATACCTGAAGGGCCTCGCATCCGCCGATCGCGATTTCGGGAAGAGGACTGCGTTCTCTCGTGCTCTTTCGTGCTCTGCGATCCGCCGCTCGTATTCTGAAATAATTATTATATGCTTCATACATTTATTCATCCTCAAAATGTCGCTTTAATAGTAGGAAAGATATCGGTTAGTATATTTTTTTTTTTCATTATTTTAATTAGTATTTTTGTTGCGGAAAGACGGTATCTATGTGTGCTCGACATAAATATCTTGAGTTATGTAGTGTCTTGTTAGCGAATCAAATCGCCGAATTTAAATGAAAATATTATATAATTATGTATATTTATAATATATAACGACGAGAGACAAAAAATATTCAAAGACTCGTCAATTAGAGAGTAATTATTAATTATTAATTCTGTAACATATAAAACAACTATTGGAAGTTTATGATTTTTTTCTCAAAAATTATTTGCATTTTTTTCTTTCTTATCAGGCTGGAAATTATGCGTCGCGTGTACGTTTCGCAGTGACAAGTGCGACGATACGAGAAAAAGTGCGCAAAATGTTGGCTCGCTACGTCAAACGAAAAGACAGTAGGTCGAGTTACAGGCCAAGACGGCTGACACCGAGGGATTAAAGCACGTCGAATGGATGTGGGCGATTTATCGGGCTCGGCAGGATTGATAGGGAGCGGATCCATCTCGGTTGCGACGGGTGTTGGTATTATCGCCAACACGACTTCCGCCACCCCAGAGTGGTGGACGCCTACGTCGACAATCACCTCGGCAGCGGCCAACACTGACGTGGTGAGTTTCTTCCTTTTTTTTTTACATTTAATATAAAATAAATATATATCTGTCGAATTATTAGTAATCTGCAAAAATTCGTTTCCCGTCTTCCCGCATTAAAAATTGATCAAAGAGACTTATAAATAAAAAATATAAATTATAATTTAAATTATTTAAAATAATATTTTTTGTTAATTGATATATTTATCATAATATTGGAGAAACCGTGAAAATCACTCTTGCGTAATATGTAATAAATATTTATATATTAACAGCTTAGAGTTAATCGTCTCAGACAAGAGAGATTCGTATGTCACGTGGCATTTAAATTACGATTTTTGTATTATTCAAATATGGTATTTCTGTGACATTTAATGTTAATCACGAGGTCTTGGGATTCAATTAAATTACGGTGTCTCTCGTGAACTGATCGGATTGAAAACACGCGCGAATTTTCTCTCGTCGCGCTCGACAGTTGATTGGTATTTACATGGGTCGTATTATCTTTGCTAAATTGCACCAGGTCGTCTGGTGAATAACGGAATATAGAGAACGATGGAAACCCTGAACAAGAAGAGAAGCGTGTCACTCGTTTTCTGTATTAAAAAAAAAATCGCACACATTACGCTATCTCCGCTCGTTATTGAATGTCGTTTGCGGCGACGCTTAATGAGCCGATTCTCTCGCGCGTGGGACGTGGGTGGGCGATGGAAAGGATTCATACCGATGTGTAGCGATGTAGATTATCCGTAAATCGTGCGAGATGCAGCACGACCGCGGGAGCAACGCGTTATTTAGCTAGCATCGTCGATGCGCGGTGGTCTGTGGCCGCGGGGATTAGAACCGAGGTGACATAGCCGCGTCATCTGTTGGACGTTTAACCTTTTTTGCCTCCTACCGAGAGGCTTACACACGTCGACCGCCATCATTTCCGCGAGAAATCATCAGTCCGTGCATACGTTCCTAGATTAATGAGATCGAAAGTAGTTTTCGAATACCTCGCGCGTCGCTGTAGGTAAACTTTGTTAGAGCGTTCGCAAAAATCGCGAAAAATACGTTTCGTCTGCGATATTTACATATATAGAGGCCTTTCGAGTGAATTTTACACCCCTTACACGAAAAAAGCGAACGTTTGCCTTCTCACATTCGCGCGATATTACACGGTGAGTGCGTTTATTGATATATTTTACACGATAATATACGTCTCGGTAATATACTATCGAAGTATCCCACAATTTATAGGTAATCATGTGAAAATCTTACCATATATGCATAACCGTTTTGTAATCAAATCGATTCCGTACGCAATAAACACGTGGTGTCTAAATCCGATCGATTCATTCGATGCATAAACTCGCAAATCGCGCGTTTATTCCACATTATATGTGCGAAATGGCAAAGCGCCATTAAACGCAGATATCTCTCATCTGTAAACCGAGTATGCATATAAAATGTTATATACACGCGTATGAAAAATATACTTGTAAAAATCATTATTGTTCGTGAAGTAACCGACGTTCTGTCTCTGACCGAACGATGAGCGAAAAGAAGAAAAATCCTAGCAGGCTCGAATAGCGGATCGAGAGCGCGTTGATCGATCCTCCGGATTATTCCCGCTCGTAATTTGCGCGCGATCAATTTCTCGTCTCGTTACGAAAGAGCCGGCCGGTTAACTTAGTTCACCCTTTTCGTGTGGGAATCGAAGCCTGCGCGAATCACACATCCTCACGCTCTCTTTGCTCGCGTCCAGCACATACGTTCACGTACATATACATGTACATATAGACGCAGGTGTGTGTGCGCGCGGTCCTCTCATCTCATCTTCGCGTCGCCTTTCTCGCAACGTCTCGCGCATCTGAGGATGTGCGGCGGAGCTGTGCAATCCGGTAATGACTGGCTAACTAGGTTTTAATAGGAACGCCGTTTCTCGTAGTGAAACCCTCCCTCCTTCCTCTTCTCGCCGATCCTTGCGCGAACACGGCAAGAAAAGGTCCTTTTTTTCTCTCCCGCGCGACGTCACCTTCGAGGATCCTCTACATCTCTCTACACGGAGAGCAGATGTACGCGCGCTGATTGCGGATCGCACAATTTGACGAGAGATCGTAATCGAGAGTCTTGAGAGATCAAATCCGGAGATATGTTCGATATTGGATAAGTTTACATTGCAATTGATTGGAAACAAAAATCAGGAAAATAAATCCTTTTTCCGATAAACCAATTATTTTCAATTTTAGAATTTAATAAGGCTAGAATGTCTAAACAACAAGAAAGCAATGCAGATTTATCAGTTTCAATTTTGAGAATAATATAATGTTGTGATGATGCTTTGAAAAATAGTATTCCATTAGAGAGAGATCTTTTTGCAATTTGTTTTATCATATATATAGGTAATGTTGCATCACAAACTTTTATGCTAGTTTTTTTACAGTCTAATATAATGTTACATAAATTATAATGTTTGTTCAGATAAACACTTGATAAATTTTATGAGTTTTTAAATAGCATTCAAGAAGTTTAATAATTAATTGGTACTCAAGCAAGTTGATGTCTTATTGTCAAACGTAATTAATCATATTTATATATTAATGAAAAGAGAATACAATGCATTAATGTATTAAACAAAAATTTGAGCCAATGCATCTTCAGCATATACATATTTTTAAAAATAATTTTCACGTTCCTTTTCAAATACGATTTTATAATAGTGCTTTGTCCTGAAATAGGAAGCTCCAACATATATCATGGCCATCCCTATCACAGTGCTCCTCGTTGTTACGCGTTGATCTCGCGTTTCGAGAGCGTGCATTAGACCGGGATCGAGAATCCTTTCGTGATTGGCAGACATTGTACGGAAATCAGGCGCGATCGTCGGGCACATTCTGAACGTTCTCGGGTCCCGAGCGTAACCACATATCGCATCTTTTTGTTGCAGATGAATCAGCTCTGCAGAGTTTGCGGAGAGCCGGCCGCGGGTTTTCACTTCGGAGCCTTCACGTGCGAAGGCTGCAAGGTCAGTATCTTCGCACCGCCATTCTTCCACGGCTATTCATCCGTGTCGTTATTCTCTGTGTAATAAAATGAAGAAAAAAAAAGAAAGAAAAAGGAAAGGACAACTCGCGATTATTACGTTTCTCGCGCGACACGATACTTATGTCTGAAATTACGTAAATCGCATAGAATCGTACCGAGACAAAGAGTAATAGGTCGCAGATGCGATTGTCTTTTTTTAAATCAGACTCTTATTCCGGTGCTAAAAAATCGGTCACCCCCTTCTCTTCCCTTCTCGGTAATTTACCATTAAATTAAGAGTCTTTACGCGTCGAAACAGCTCGTTGTTCGAGCTGTGCTTAATTATGTCTCATACGAGCGCGTTCGCTTCCATCACATATAGCTTGCAAACTTTCCGACAGCTGAATATTTAACTTTTAATTAATAAATAGCTAAATATTTCTTTTTCTTATTGCATTTTTCCGCACATCCGATACACGTAATTCGAGCGAAAGTGCAAATTGATTGCCATTCATCAACGTGCGCATCTTTCGCTTTCTGTTGCACAGTCCTTCTTCGGGCGCACCTATAACAATCTGGGCAGCATATCCGAATGCAAGAACGGCGGCGTCTGCGTGATCAACAAGAAGAATCGTACCGCCTGCAAGGCGTGTCGCTTACGGAAGTGTCTGATGGTGGGCATGTCTAAGTCCGGCTCACGTTACGGCCGGCGCTCCAATTGGTTCAAGATACACTGTCTGTTGCAAGAGCAGTCTCACCAGGCGCAAAACCGTCTGATCAAGGACCCAAAGTCCGCGTACGAGAAAGCCTTCGGCTCGTTGGACGCTGCGAACAACAACAACAACAATAACAACAACACCGAAAACGTGAGTAACACCAGCGCCAGCAGCATCGTCGGGATTGTCACCACGGCGACTACCACGGCGAACAGTTACCATCACCATTTGCACCACCATCATCACCCGGACCGGTTGCCCAAGAGGGAGGACGGCGCCCTCAGGCCGCCGGATATGCCGGTACAACTGAGATCGCCGGAAATTCCACCGAGGCCTAATCAGGACGCGATTCTTAGGCCCGGCGATCTACCCAGAGCTTCGCACGAGATGCTCAGGCCTGAGGTCTCGAGGTTTCCCATGTGGCGAGGTCCGCCGTTGTTCCATCCGGCTCTCACCCACATGCAGCTGCTGAACACGCCGTTCTTTCCCTTCCAGCAAGCACGCTTCATGGTACCTTACATGAATCAAATAAGCCCGCCGCAGATGGTGGCAAGCCTGTCGACCTCGTCCAGCGAGAACATCAGTCCGCGTTCGACCCCGTCGCCGACGAAGAGGAATGAAGAAAATCAAGAGTGTCGCGAAATCGACCGCGATGCCAGCCAACGAGATCGATGTCTGAGGAGAGGCTCGACGGAGATCGCGTATGACAAGAGCCTGGCGTTTCTGCGATCCCTCGGACCGGAGCAGGAAGAGCCGATGGACCTCAGTATGAAGGACACGCAGACGGATGTGCTCGAGATGGATGCTGGTAGTATGGAAGAGGAAGAAGAGGAGAAGTCGAGCGACAGCGAAGACAACGAGCTTCTGCAGGACACAGGACCGCCCCTGGATCTCACACGGAAGACATGACCTCGGATATCAGACGGTGCTCAATAGGTGCTCAATAGAAATTTGGTTCGATCGCGAAGAATTGTCGTCGATGTCGATATGTCGGAGTTAAAAAATAACGACGCAACGCTTGATCGGCATTGATGCTTGCTGATGAAGAAACGGAAATTCTGGTAAATCGAAGCTTGCCGGCGAAAGGGAAGGAATAAACGCTTAGAGGAAGAAACGAAGACGGGTGGGAAAATAACGAAGAAGACGAAGAAGGTAAAGAAAGGTGAGGCGAGGTGAAGAAGAGAATGGAGAAGAACGCGCGAGGTGCGGAGGGAGAGTGAGAGAAGGTACAGTTACATCGTAATAACGTGGCGAGCGAGAAGCACGGCCAAGTGTCAAAGGTGCCTTGGCACAAGAAACGAGAAGACGATCCAGTCGGGTGGGGAAGAAAAGTAGCCGAATACGATTACGTTGGAACGACACGAGGGAAAAGCGGGAGAAGAGGAGAGGGAGAGAGCGCGCGGTCGGCCTACATGCCGAAGAACAAGAAGTTGGTGGCCGCGCGCGCGTAGCCAGCCGGCATAAACGGCGGAATGATCGGTAATCGCCCGATCGATGAAAATTGCTCAAGCCGCTCGGTATTAGTCCCTTTTGCCCAGCCGTATCCCGGCGGCAGGTGCACGTCGACGGAGCACGAGTCGAGGACGAGACTTGTGACACGTCGAAATAGACGATTGTGCCTTACAAGCAATGCCTTCTTTACAAGCGCGCCGATAAAAAAACGGTGCTAGTTTAACGCGATAAAAAAAAAATATATATATATATATAACTGTTCGCTGTGTATAGCGTGACGCCACGCTCGGCGATGGCCAGTGAGTGCTTCGTGCGTGTTATTGCGTCCATGAATCGATCATTCGGCAGTGTTCGAGGCCCGAACTTTGCTGTTCGAGCGACATACGCGCTCGTTCGCTAAAAGAAAATTGGCGAAATGAGTTCGATGCGATGAATCGAACAAGATCGCTTTGGGCACCGAATAGAGAGATTGTGATTCTACGCGTGAATTTCAAGTACTCTTAACGTAACTTAACGTAATATTTTTGGAAAGTCTCTGTTTTTTTCGAATAAACACCCCAAGCGCGGTAGAGCTATTCCGAAAAACGCCTTGATCGTGCCGATCGTCAATTGCGCTCAAGTACAAAAAGAAAAAAGATTGAAGAAAGAGATGCAGATAGAAGATGCGGCAGCCACGACTTCTCGGGCGTCGTTTAAATGTCCGAGAGTCGAGAGTGTGCGACGTGAAATAAAGAATATTATATATACCTGAATATAACGCTGTTCATTAAATCCCTTCACACATGCTCATCGATCTCCCATCTTTCACGCGGGTATACATACATATATACCGTTCCAAACTCGAGATGGTATTCGATTACTTTCGCCTCGCGCATGTCTTTCAACATTTCTTGGTTGCGCCGCTATATACGAAAGCGCGCGTTATAATATTATTACACATGCGCGCGTAAACGCGCATTATCGTACGCGCAATGTTATTTATCTAGCAATAAATTTGTCCGTCTTGATATACTACGCGAAAAAAAAAAACTGTCTTCCCGATAGTTTCACACCGACGCGACGCGACGCCGATGCTTCGTGGAAGAATGATGCGATTCCCGTCTCTCGAGGACGTCGAAAACGCTTGACAATAAATTTTCTTAAAAGTTCAGCAATAAACACGCGAGTATATCGATCGTAAGATTTTCTCCTGCTATAAGGTCGTTTGACCGGGTCAGCCGGGGTTCCGTTCCACGCCACGAGAAAAGCTTCCTCGGAGAAGAAGACGGCCGCGAAAAAACGCGCCGTCTGATGAGCGACGTACTAGGAAGTGGTGTGTACGCGGAAGTTTTATTGCTAATTAAGCTACACACTTGGAAAAAATGAAGGCGGGTTTCCGCGTTACCGCGCAATACCTGGTCCCGATAATTTATGAATATTTGCGTCGCGCTGGGAGGATCTGTGCTGAATCCTCTCCGGAGAGATCACACGACCGGAATTCACGTTTCGCGACACGACTCGTTCATAGAGATTTGTCTTTACTAGGAAAGTTTTCACCCGTCTGTCTGTTAGACCGCTTCTGCCTCTATGGCCTCTTTTATGAGTATGCTAACGCATTCTTGACCGACGTGCTATTATTAGCGATTTTATGATGACATTATAACTTATGGTGTCTTGAATGCGCCTTATTCAAGAGTATGAATATTTTGATTATTCGCAAATATCAGTTCGAAATGATATTAGTTTTTTTTTTGCAGCGAAAATACGCTACTCCGGATTATGCAAACATTGAACATTTCTGAATTTCAGTAAATTGAGGACAGCAGTGTATTAATATCTATTTAAAATTTATGCATGGTCTCCAACTTCGCGAGTACTTGCAAGGATGTTTCGAAGTTAGACTAGGACGTAATATATCTGGTAACAGGAATTGTGCAACGCGTGAGACGTGCAAGTTCGCAAAATCGTGTAAAGTTTGCCGCGCGCGAATCCCGACACGAGTTCTCTGTCAATATTCTCTCAGGAACAAAATGGCCTTCCCTCTCAAATAACGCTTCGTACATATTGCGAGCATGTTTTTGCATATATTCAACGAAAGAGCAAAGGATTTATGTCTCTCGTCGCGCAGGATAATTAGTACCGAATTCATAAATTGCTGATTCTCGAAGTATATACGTGGCCGATTTCTAACTCAAATTACATACTTATTTCATGTTTCTGCACTGTGGATTTAATTATTTTAATTTGCAAAAAATATTTATTAAACTTTAAATATTTCAGGCAAAAGCATACAATTTTGATAGATGCACTATTCGCTAAATAAATTGTATAATATGAGCGAAAGAGATTGCTTTTAATTTATGTATATGAGAGCATTTTTATTTTTATCTCAATCATAAGTATTTAATTCAACTTATTAATTCGCCGACATCTTTGTGTTATTATACGTGATATTAAATAATCATAATTCTTAATTAATTACACCGAATGCAAGAAAAGTTACAGTTAGCACGGGATTTTCGTGACGAGAGCGAACTATATCGAACTTGTCGACGAAGATTTTAACATCATGATAGTTGCTATATGAAAATTACGTTTCCGGCTTTCGATCCTTTCGCAGGACTTTCCCAATGGCGACCGCACATTCGCGAACGACGTTCGCTAGTGGTATGCACGCATCTCTCGTCCGACGAGAGGTGTTCATCTGCAAGCGTGCACCTGCGTGCGTGTGTTCACGCGACACTCTCACACTCGTAATGCCGCGACAGTAAAATACCGAGTCGCGTCCGCTTGTTGACTTAGGTGGGACAAGAGAGGCCACTCGATGTCCATCGCGCGGGCATTTCCTGTCGGACTCGATTCAGGTATTCCGAGGGGCGGGCCTTGGCATAAGAAAATGTATGACGATGCATAATATATCTCGCGCACGTGGCTATTTGAAATTCCGTATCGACGCGCGATTCCCGATACCTGAGCATTCCTCTCATTTCAACGTAAATTGCATATATCATTAATTTAATATTCTCTCTTTTTATTATTTAATATTTCTCAGAATTACAATCAAAATAACGAGATAATTATACAGAATTAAAATAGTCAAGATTATATAGGAAAAACAGAGCACGGAGGCGAGGAGAATATAAATAAAATATATAGGTACCTTTGGTTTAAAATTTTCTCGACCTTCCTCAATGTACATTTACAACGGGTTTAAGATATTATACTGATGAAAAGAAAAGAGGAAAAAATAACTGCACGAACGTAGCAGGTGATAAAGTAATGCGTATATCATATGTTGAATGGATGATCAAAATTTGTCAAGATATTCAAGGCGTATTCAAGAAGAGATTTAGAAAAGTACAGACGTTCGATCGGTTTAATACTTATATCGAATAGGATGCAAAGTGCACATATAAATCATTAATCACGTTTATCGAACTGATGTCGAAGAATTCGATCGTTTAATCATCTTGACACCTTGTCGAACGTGATACTCAAGGATATCCGTTATTCAATCGTCCTTAAAGTCGTGTTAAATCCTGTCTTGATTTTTTTAAATAAATTGTTGATTCTTTTCATGTTGGATCATGCACTATTATTATTCTATTCATACATATTTTTTATGCACTTTCCTTGCTGATATATTGATCGTTTTAAAAATGCCTTTATTATACGCGTTGAAAAGGCGTTTTTGCTTTATTAAATATAATAGCTTACTCTATAATAATGATGCATTCAACGCAAAGATCAACGTTAACGTCACCATTTTTATTTCCACGTATAATATATTATATATCGAAATTTACGCTCTCTATATGTAAATTCCGCGTCTCAGTTTTCGTTAAATATATAACAATTTTTATATCATGTAAATCGTAAAGGTTTTTCGCACACGTTTTTGCCATGCGCGATGTTATAAATTATCTATCCATTTTAATTTATCTTTGTATACGAGATACCTTTGTTTTTCCGCGCGTTAACAAAATAAAACTGCGGTTTAATTAGCTTTATCGGTTCATGTTGTCATATTGTGAAGCATACCGGTACATTTTACGTGTCTTGAAAAATTTTAATCCATTTTTATATAACTCTTGCTTCTCTCTCTTCCGTCATACCAATACATCGTCGCGAATTCCTTTTACCGTTTTATTACCGCGAAGACGACGCGTTGTTGCGTTGTTGCGATTCTGCCGGATTGTATCTTCCCATTCGCACCTGCTCGAGTAATCAGGGTGTTACTAGCGTGTCAAAAAAAATTTAAACCTTGTCTCGAGGTCACGTCATATCGCCGGACAACTAAAAATCGCGACCACGTCATCGCGCGATCATTCGGAAGAAACAGAGGCACCTGATTTTTTTTTATAGTCGCCACTCGAGAATCATTCGATCTCCGCGAAACGTCTCTCAGATTACGAGCATAATGACGTATGTTTGTCTATTCGCAAGCGTTCTCTTTTTTTTTCCTTTCGTCTCTTAGATGGGTTACGTAAAATATCTCGACGAGGAAACGACAGGATCGTCTCATCCGTCTTGTCATAAATTAATAAAGTCCTTTTTTCTCTCTTCCTCCGAGAGAACGAAAAAAAAAAAAAAAGAGCGAGAGACCGAAAAACGCGGTAACCGGAAAGGAACGACAGACAGACAGACAGACACAGTGGGAGAGGAGGCAGGGGGAAAGGGGGGCCGAGGGGGAGCGAGGCGATGAAGGAGAGAGCCCGGAAGAGAAGGACCGGTTGCTTGTTCATTGATGGCGCGAAGGCCCTCGCTCGTGAATGGTGGTGGACACTCGCGAGCCAAGAATAGAGGATCTTCTCTCGGCTCGTCTCGAATTTTTCTGCGACGCGCGCTCATGAACTCGCGCCACGGTCGTGTCACGTCACCTCTTCCCGTCTTTCCTTCGCCTCCTTCCCTACCCTACTCTGGAAGTAGTTGTAGTTCGCGACGCTGATTAATGCGCGGATGCTGAGGACAATCTTGATCGAGTCCGGCCGAGCAATCAACTTCGTCGCTCGCCTTGATTTCCGGCAGTGCTGTCAACTGCCGTCCAACAATTGCGATTGTTTCTGGTACGATTCCTCTGAAGGTCCTTTCTAATCGCTTCCGCTTCACATTATTCGAAATAATTGGTTGAAATTATGATTAATACCAATCGGACCTTTATCGAGATTAAAAGTATTCCCAAGCGTGAGATCTCAATTTGCAATAATGACAATGTCTTTTCTTCCAGATTCATTTGTAAAGGCAATAATTTAATAAAATGCAATGTTTACGAACGATCTTTATATCACAATAAATCTTGTCCAGAAATATATTTTTATTCGACCCTGCGAAATTCCGAGTAGATTTTTATTCGTTCCCACTTCTTTCGATGACCGAGTAGAAAACCGTCTGCTTTGATTTGCGACCGATGTTCACCAATTGTTATTTATATTCGAGAGGGTGGTCAAGGTATTTCGCACCTATATTGAGGAGCTATATAGATCATTTCTCGACAAAGACGGACTAATATTATACGACATAACTCTTTCTAGCGGAAGCGTCGCAAAGAACGGCAAGGAATTTTCAAGCCATAAACAATAATCGAGCCGCGTTCTAGTGTCCGGGTCGCGTGTGCTAGATAGAAGATAGTCGGAGGGCAAGAAGAGGCCGAGGAGGCTAAAAAAAAAAAGAAGTAAACGCGGGTCGCGGCGATACACACTAAGGTCGACAGATGCGCGGCACACGAGTGTAAGAGGGGCCATTACGCGTGAGGTAAAGAGGTTTACTACACCTG